TAACCCGTTCGTTATACCTGTGTTTTTCAAGTAAAAAGAAAATATCAGAAGAAATGCAATCGACACCTCCCGAATTGCTAGAAATAGCTAAATCTTCGATAGAAACCTTAATACCTACGAAATCGAAGAAAGTTTACGATTATGCTTACACAAAATTTGTGAAATGGAGTGAAGAAAATCACGTACATTTTTATTCAGAAAATGTTCTGATCGCATATTTTACTAATTTGTCTGAAAAATTCAAAAGTTCAACAATGTGGTCGCAGTATTCAATGCTGAAATCAGAACTAAATATTAAACATAATGTAAAAATTGAAAACTATTCAAAATTAATTGCCTTCTTAAAACGAAAAGGTGATAATTACAAACCGAAGAAGTCAAACGTTTTTTCTAAACAGGAGTTTGATAACTTTCTTAAGAGTGCACCAAACAAGAGATATTTAGCAACTAAGGTAGGTACATAATTTTTTTAAACTGTTATTTAGTTTTACAGATATTCTATTAATTTCTGCTTTTTTATTTTAATTATTTTTATCCATACTTTTATTTAAATGCTTGAAGAAAAAATAGTATATGTCACTCGGATTAGAAGGCCAACATTATATGTTGAGCCAAGAATTTTGCACAGCTGAGGCGTTAGCCGAAGCTGTGCAAACCGTACAAACTGGGCATAATATACTATTTGTAACAATAATTTAATAAAGTTTTACTTAGCTACTAGCTACTGATAAAGCATTATTGTCATAAATAAATCATGCTAACAAACGAAGTCAAAAAATTTCTCATAATCTTTCAACTTTTACCAAAGTTACCAAACTTAGGTACTACAATATAAATATTTAAGTCCGATCCATAACATCTCTCCTTCCATCGAGTTTTTCGGTTTCTTTGATTGTAAGTTAATAATATTTAGGTAACCTTTACTTTTAGGCAGTATATTTAAAAGTGCCAATTATAATCCTTTTGGTATTTTAACCACACTATTAGTACAAGCTACAGTTGTTTTTTTAAGGATGTAACATTTCTTATTGGGCTGAACTTTAAATTTTAAATTTACCCACTTGTAAAACCTTAAAGATAGAAACGTCATTACAATGAATGTAAAATAGAGGTGGCCGATAATTCACGAACTTTTATTCAATTATTCTGGTTTACATTCTTTACATGTTTTTCATCATTCAACTCTATTTTTTCTCTGAATTGACTTTGACATTTATGTCTTTAATTATTTACGCGAAAATAACTAGGTATTTAAAAGTTATTTGTAAATGCAAATTTGTCACTACTATACAGAATGAATGATGTTTGTATTTCACAGCCAACCCGAATGTTTATGTTTTTGTTTAAATATTATAACAAATTTGTTATGAATAAAACATGTAATTGCGTCGTTGTATAAATGGATTTTCCTTTAAAGTTTTGAAATTATTAATATAATTATATTTAAATATTATCAATGAATGAATAAGTTCTGTATATTTACACAAATTAGATTATCAATGGGGTTTTTGCACTAAAAGTCATCAATATAATAATTTATTATAACACCATGCTTCACTTATTCATATTCATTTTTAATACTTTATACGAACAGGTTTTTTTTCACCCTTAGAACACCCCCGTGCAATCACCCTAATCCCTATTATATTACTCATTCGCCGCCATACACTCAATGTCTTAGATGCTTAAGCATTAGTCGGCTAGTTCCTAGTCCCATGTAATAATCCTTCCTCCATGGTCTCATGGTGGAACGTCCCAATCGTCACCCATCCATGACAGTGCTGAGGAGTCACGGCTTTGCTATTTGCTAGAACGTGGATGCACACACGGCCGCCGAGAGCCAAGCCGGACCCCAGGACAATTATCTAAACCGGACACCCTGACGAAAAAATGTTCTCTTCCACTTAAAACTTTTCCTCCTCACTTTGGATGTTTTTTCTAGTCCTCAGACAAAAACTTTTCCTGCTATACTTAAATTGATAAATTGATTTATCTAAAAAAAAAACCCCAACCAAAAACTTCCCCCTCTCATTTTGTGTCGAATTTCTCATACAAAACAAAAAATATCCTGTTCCCGGGCCCCCCTTATACCGCTGCCGGGCCCCATTTCAGTCCGGGCCCCGGGAAATAGTCCCGGCTACCCCCCCCCCCCTCTAGTCGGCCCTGGATGCACACTTATATCGAGGGAGGCTAGTCTCCAGAAGAGAAAGGATGATAAATGTAAAAACAACTACTTTTATTGTTTCTATATTCACCTCATGATACGCCAATGCATGCGGGAAAATTATACGTAGGTAATCACAATCACAAAAATTCAAAAATTAAATTAACCGCTACTGAAAAGGTCAGTTAAATGTATTTATCTGGATGAGCAGTTGTTTTTAAGATTTATATTATACCCTTAGATAAAAGAGACCGGAGATGTAACATTGCACATTGCGCATGTTGTCTATTCCAAACCTAAGTAACCCACCAATTAAAAATCATTGTGTTCACGATGCCACCCGAATTGCTCCGAAATTTCTATTCTTTGCTTGTCTCCGCGTGAGTAAATCATTTATGGACCGCCATTTTTGAATTATTTGTTGGTGTTATTAGCAATTTAAAGTGTTTTAGTTATTCAATTTCAAGTTGAAAATGCCACGATGTATGGTGAAAAATTGTATATACAAATAATATGTGTCAATGTTATGAAAAATAAGAAATATATTCGTTTTCAGCGGTAAATATTTGTTGACGTTTTGACATAAAGTCGCCATGATTCTTTGAGCTGAATACTTCAGATCCGCATTAAGGGGTTTCAATAAATATTTAATATTAAAGTAAATAGGCATTGTTACTAACGAAATTTTGTTTTTAAAAAGTAGTTTTATAAGAATATTTACTAAAAGTGGTTTTTAGCCCTTTATTAGATATTTTTACAAGAATATTAGATGAAATACAGGTTCACCTACTTAAAATTTCAAGGCTTATTTTATTTGCGGTTAAATCAAAAGTGACATTTGAATCTTAAAACAAAGTAAAACGCGCAATATGATCTAGTATAAGCAAAAAATACTAAAGTTACGGAAATTAGTCATATTATTAGTAAAATGTTACATTATAAACCCCTAAACAACTCGAAAAATATCTTCGTTTACTAAAAAAATCTAAATTCTAGCAATATTTATTATACAATCGAATGCGGTTTCAGAGATAACAGGATCAATAAATCCGAATCTCAAAATTTTGGAGCTAAATGCTCTGATAAAAGCATGCGACCGATAGGGGTTACAAAAATAATCGATTTATCGTTTTCATGAAAATCGATTTATCCGTTATAATTAAACGATTATCTTTAATAGATTATTTTTGATTAATCGAACATTTTTAATAATTTTTTTTCGTTTTTTTAGGTAATGGAATAATCGATTATAAAGGAATTACAAAAAGAGAGTAGATTTGTTCAAAATATTCGATTTATTGAAAATAATCGATTTTTTAGAAAAATCTATTTATTGTTTAATAGACTTTTTAAATTAATCGATTATTTTCGATTAATCGATTATTTTAGATAATTCGATTATTTTCGATTTTTCAAAGGTATTCAAATAATTTGTTTTAAAATACAAAAAATAGATTATATAAAAATAATCGATTGATCGAATATAATCGGTTATATTATATAATCGATATTTCGGTTATTTTATAGCATTATTGATTTATCGGTAAATCAGCTTTTTATTAATCAATTATTTTCGATTTTTCAAAGAAAATTAAATAATTAGTTTTAAAAGGAATATAAAAAAAGAAAAGGATTATCAATAATTATTCAGTTTTTTTTTTTTTTTTTTTTTTTGGAAAATCGATTTATCGTAGAATCTTCTTAATTAATTGGTTATTTTCCGTTAATCGATTATTTTCGATGTTTCAAAAATGATCGAATAATTGATTTTAAAGGAAATAATTCTTTTTTTTTTTTAAATCGATTTATCGATTATTCGACTTTTTAATTAATCGATTATTTTTGATTAATCGATTATTTTATATTTTTCAAAGATTATCGAATAATGTTTCAATGGAAATACGAAAAAAAAAATAGAAATTAAAAGTAATCGATTATTTAAAATAAACGATAATTCGTTTATTATTTTTTGTAAACACTGATTTATTGGTTAATTGGCTTTTTAATTAATCTATTTTTTTTTTATTTTTTAAAGATAATCAAGTAGTCAATTTTAAAGGAAATACGAACAAAAATAGATTGTTTGAAAATAATCGATTGATCGAAAATAATCGATTATTATTAATGATCAGTAATTTATTTCGATAATCACCCACTCCTAGCGACCAAATGACTTTTAATAGGTTTAAATTTTAAAATGTTATCTGGTTTCAGACATATACATTTCTAGAGTTTTATGTGACGCATCCTCTATATTAATTAATATTCCTAAAGAAACAAGCTTTAATATATCTTTTTCTGAGGTTATAATACAAAACAGCATTTTCTCATTTTGACTAAATTTTAATATTATGTGATAGTCGTAGAAAAAATATAATGTTCAACTCACAAGGTTTGATTTGCAGTATTCGCCTGCGCACATGCTTTTTTATAATACTCTTAGACAATGAGTACCATTTCTTACTCGATTAACAATATTCTATTTCAACATTTTACTGTAGTCTCTTACAGAAAAGTCCATAGTAAATAATAGCTAACGAAATATTCTATTAAAGGTCTTCTCTTTACATAAAATATCGTGGCATCTGTTTGATATTAAATAATCACGTTAAATTTATTTCATAATACAAAATTCCATTAAACGTATATTTTAAATAAATCTAATAGTTCATTATGATGCTAATAAACAAAGTCCGGTCCCTGTCACAGAGATCGGGTCCCTGCCCAGTTCCCCCACTCCGTTAACCTTTCTTTAGAAATTGACAACATTTGCGCAGGTTAAACACCGGTGTATGTTATATCTCTGGTCTCTTTTATCTAAGATTATACCTAAGTACTGATTACGCATAGAGTGCCTAATAAAATGGAGCTGTCAAAATATTTGTGAATAATTTGGCTTATCGGTGTTTTTTTCTTTTGTAAAATTTACCTTACGTTTATATAATTAGCTAACATTTATCTTTGAAAATTAGATAACATTAAATTTCACTGGAGGTAAAGTGCAGTATTATAAAATTTTATACCTAAATAATCAGCAATCATGGCGAAAACTATTGAACGCGGAGCAAAAACTTTCGAAGAAGCCATTATCCTAACAGGTAAGTCGTTTAATATATGAAGAATTCTTTAAAAAATATTGTTTTTCGAGTACATCGATACTAAAAAAAGTTACATAGGTTTCTTTTTGAGATATTTTAATTTAAAATGTTGATAGAATATTTTTATTCACTACAAAAACTCAAGCTATCCATGGACAAACAGTATGCACTGCTTCGTTCCCTAAAAATTCAAAATTTCAACTCAGATTTTACCTTTTCTGAAGTTTTAACGCGGACACTCGTAATTTTTTTGCATTAATTTTAAATCAGTGGACTGTAAAAATAGTTTACAAATTTTAACTTTTTTTATACCCCGAAAGAAATGTATATAAATATGTTTTCCTACGACCACTTAGGAAAGTGACACATATCACACTATATAGTCCTATGGAAAGTGCCCTATATCACACGCGTATGAATAAGAATTTACTTTCCACCCGAGTGAGAATATTTTACTTTCCGCAGTAGTTGTCACAAAATGTCAAACACCTAATTTCTATTTTGATCTATGTAATGTCCATATTAATACTAAAATCGATATGATTGTTAAATTATTGAAATTGTTGTAAATTAGATCCTAGATATTTATCTTTAACAATTATTATTAAAATAATTTTAAAATAATGTTTGCTCTTTATTCTGGTTATAGTATATTACATTACGAGTGTGGAAAGTGACATTTTTCACACGAGTGGGAAATATTGTCGCACGAGGCGCAAGCCGAGTGCGACTATCACACGAGTGTGGAAAATCACTTTTCACACAAGTGATGTACAATATTTTTCCTACGACCACAAAATAATGTCATCAAAAAAAATGTAAAACCAAGGTTATTATTACTATAATAAGTAAAATGTATTTAAAAAAAATAATCAACAATAATCGTATTTATTTAATTTTCATATTTTCTAAACAAAAAAAAAACTAAAAAATAAATAAAAAAAAAAAAATTCTGCTCCGCCAGGATTTGAACCATAGACTGAACGCGGTCGAAAAATGGCAAAGTTGATAAGTTCGATGTCCTAACCAACTGAGCTAATAGCCCTTGTGTCAATTGAATGATCTAATCGGTTATGTATTTAACCAGAATAAAGAGCAAACATTATTTTAAAATTATTTTAATAATAATTGTTAAATATAAATATCTAGGATCTAATTTACAACAATTTCAATAATTTAACAATCATATCGATTTTAGTAGGTATTAATATGGATATTACATAGATCAAAATAGAAATTAGCTGTTTGACATTTTGTGGCAACTACTGCGGAAAGTAACATATTCTCACTCGGGTGGAAAGTAAATTCTTATTCATACGCGTGTGATATAGGGCACTTTCCATAGGACTATATAGTGTGATATGTGTCACTTTCCTAAGTGGTCGTAGGAAAAATACATAACCGATTAGGTCATGCAATTGACAACGACTATTAGTTCAGGTGGTTAGGACTTTGCCATTTTTCGACCGCGTTCAAATCCTGGAGGGGCAGAATTTTTTTTGTTTTTTGTTTTTTTTTTTGTTTAGAAAATATGAAAATTGAATAAATACGATTATTGTTGATTATTTTTTTAAATACATTTTAATTATTATAGTAATAATAACCTTGGTTTTACATTTTTTTGATGACATTATTTTGTAGTCGTAGGAAAAATATTGTACATCACTTGTGTTAAAAGTGATTTTCCACACTCGTAATGTAATATACTATTACCTACAAACCTAAAAGTCTTAGCAGAAATATTATATCACGTCACAATTTGTTCCTGCAGTCAAATGTTTCAGTCAAACGTGCTGAAGACAGTTTATTGTTTATTCGTTCGCTTCAAACGACAATTATTGGGTTGTTGCGTAATTAATTGCAAAAACATAACATTTATTTTAAAATTATTTACTAATATAAATACATAAAATTAATTTATTATTGTCGCACATTAATTAGTCAGTTTGCACCGCTTGAAGTAGTCGTAACTAAATTATTGCACAATATTTCAAAGACTTATGCAACAACCCAATATCTTGTTTCGGATTGATTTAAAATGTCGAGTAGAAAGTGTAAACAAAGTTCTGATCGTTTTTGTTATATTTGTGGACAGTTTATATTTTCAAAAAAGAGAAGACCCGTTGTAGATTCATTAAAAAGTGCATATCTTCATTATTCTGAATTTCCTGTTGGAAAAAAAGATAAAAAAGGATGCCTCATGTAATTTGCGAAAACTGTAGAATCGTCTTACTCCAATGATCATCAGGAGAAAACGTACACCTTCCATTTGGTTCACCATGGAGAGAACCTAGTAATCATGAAAATGATTGTTACTTTTGTGTTACGAAGGTATTGGGATATAATAAAAAAATAAGCCCCCTGCGAAACTTAGGTCACCAAAATTAACTGAAACGAACTTAACCAGGCCCCAATGCTACACGTTTATGGCCAGAAGATTTGACTAGATGGAGTATCGTTAACGGATTGCTCCCACATCAAGCCTACCATTCAAAGATATACTTATTACTTTTGTATTAGAGTAGATTGTAAATTTGCATTAGATAAATCAAAAACTGGGCTACAATAGCTGACGTTCGTTAAAAACTTCTGTCATAGAATACCTACTAATAAGTAGGTATTCTGTGCTTCTGTTGTAACGCCGTGAAGAAATTACAAAAGAATTATTGAACACTTCTGCTATTTCATGCGTATTATATTATAACAGCTTTTTTTATTGCTTTCAGAAAAATTCTTAATAATTTTCCACAAATTTTTTGGTGTATGTTTTTTGTTTTTGTAAATTGTTTAATTTGAGAAAAATGTTATCTGCATAAAAAAAATGGATATTTATTAATGACTAGGATCTATCTAGTAGTCAAATGACATATGCTCTTTTTACATAATGAAGAAAATGTAGATAAGAAATTTCTATAGAGATTACCTTCTTTGTATTTATATTTTTCATAATATTTTTGTAATATGAATAATAATGTGTTTTATACAATTATTTAATGTTCCTAAATTATGTATGCATTGTAAAATAATTCTGGCATTTAAATATCATAAAGATAAACTGTAGTTTTGTATTTTATTAAGGAAATATTTTCCAATTAAAAAAATAAATCTTTTTAAATATTTTGCAATGGTTTTAGGTTAATTATGTAATTATTTACTAAGAAAGTAAATAATTCCAGCTAATTTACCTAATCAACCGACGTAGGTACAAGTTTTTGTATTAATAAGCATAAATGTTCTTTTTATTACGCAGTAGGTAATTACAGTGACATTTTGTACATCTAAATATTTTTTCTAATTTTGACATATAAATTGACATTTTTTGTAATCGCAGCAAGTGTCCAAATGATCTACTTTACGCAACCAGTTGCATAATGTTGAATATTATGAAACTGGTTACGAAAAATTCATTGTCACCTGTAGTGAAAAGAAAACAAAAAAAAAATAAACCTTATTTTTTGGTTCTAAAATCAATATAAATATACATTATTATTGAAAATGTATATTGAAGAAGGGGGCAGGTTGACTTATAAAAATAGAATTTTGTTAAACTTACAACCTAATAATAATGTTGTTTTGGTACTTATTTTCCATTCTAAATTAGCAAAAAGTAATTGAAACACAATACACGACAAAATAACCCACTTTATTGAAATCTAAATAACTTTAACAAGTAATATAAACACACTACAATAAATCGTTAAGAATTAAAATATGATTTTCTATTTGTTAATAAAAAAAATTAAGTTAATTATACAAGAAAGTAGTAATATTGGTTGCCTAGATATCAGTAATGCTTTACCAAAACACAATTTTATAAATAATCTACACAAAATTAGAAGAAATATTGTATGTAAAAAGTTACGAAATGCCGTTTTTTGTAGCTTGTTACATAAAATAAGGCATTTCGTAACTGATTTCATAAATATTTAAAAAACAATTTGTTTTTGTTGACAATAATAAATTAAGGTTATGGTTCTGGGATGCTGGTCAAAGATGTGACTATTTTTTACTTCAATTATTCTAATTATTTTCAAAATATAGTACTGTTAGGAATACGACTAGTATATAAGTTAATAAAATGACAACAGGGTAACAGCTAGTCGTCGACTAGAACTCGAAGATATGGTGGTGGGATATTAGTCTAACCTCTAACCGAATGTCAGTCACTAAGCCAGAGAGCATAGCAATAGCGGAGATACCGTAGTTCGTAGTTGCAACATGTTGGCTATATTTCTTTTATGTTTACATATTTTTCTGCCTGATAAATTTGGCAGCTTATAATTATTATTAATAATAAAATAGAAGGACGCTAATTAAAATCTAAATACGTTATTAAGTTAAAAACAAATTAATATCATAAAAATAGTGAAAAATTTAAAACATTTCACATCTATTATTTATCTTGCGCCAATTTTTTTTTTTTTTAATTACAGTTCATCTTTTTGTTGTCTTTAATAATACATAATATGAAAGATGCATTAAAAATAACCATTTTAGAAGGTTTAGTTGACGATGATATTAAATATTTAATATTAAAAAACTTCGAACTGATACGAATGTAGGCGAGGGCACCCGAAAGCAATAAAGTCGCCACTATCTGCTGTCCTAACATCCACAATTAAGGACAGGCACAATCTTTAATAAAGTCAGTTCTAGAACGTAAACGTAATAGTGACTGCCTTAAGTGAACTTAAAATATCTCTCTATTATGTGCGGAGAAAAGGGAGATAAAGATAGAAACGCACATAAAACGCCAATGCTTAACAATGACCAGTTCGAACGTAGTTAACATCCGAACCACTATATGGCGCTTTCATCGATATCAAACAAATAACGCAGCGGGAACTTTAAAAACCTGATAATAAATGTTGTATAAATATCGATTGCACTCTCATGTTCTGGTAAATAAATTTAAAATATGTTAATTACGCTAAATTATTTATTAACAAGAATACTACACTTACAGCCTATTATTGATTAATTATTGTAAATCTGTTCATGCCAAATATTTTTTTTTAATTTTTGACCAATTCTTGTAACTTAACATTTTTGTTCTTATTTTCCAAATGAATGGCCAACGGTGTTGAGTGCAAACTCAATACTGGGAATTCAGCTATTTTTCTTCCTATATCAAATCTTCTCTCAAACGTTGTAATGCCATTTTCTTGTTCTAAAACAATAAAGAATAATAAAGAAATACCTAGTTTGTGACAAAAGTTAGCTACTGTTTGTGTTACTTACATGGCTAGAGTTTACTTTGATAAATTAAATTTATTCATGTGGCATGTGTTACTAATGAAATACGTGCTCCGACTTATTATAATATTACAAAAACAACCACAACCATTTCACTTAGTTTATCTAGAGGATAGAACAATCATGAACTCAAAAATTCAAATTCAGGATTGTACGGTATACATACAACTAATTGACATTTATATTTACAAACTGTCTACTGCTGTCCACGTCTACTATCTCTCTACAAACGACGTGTACCTTTGCTGCAGTCGTTGCGTTTCATATCTTTAGGTCTTTTCCTTTGCATCGAAAATGTAGCACTAAACTACTTCACTTCTGAAAATATCGTTCCATTTATACAACTTGTATGGATGGAACGATATTTTCAGAAGTGGCGTAGCTCAGTGCTACCCTTTCGATGCAAAGGAAAAGACCTTTTATGTCCCTGATCTGTGATTATGTGGAAATCGTCATGGAATAACGTATATCATAGAACAAAAGCTATATGTTATGAGAATTTCCACCGTTGTGTTAGACGAAGTTTAAAATGACATTTTTACATTAACAATGTCATTTTAATCTTCGTTTAGCAATTTAAACTTCGTTTAATACAACGGTGGAATCGGCTCTAAGACGATTTGCACATACTTAAAAGCATTTGCAACAAGAAGGCAATTTTTGCCATAACTTTTGTTATACAGGGTGTTATTGAAATACACGTACATATTAAAATGGGGAATAGTATGTAATGACCAAAAACGATTGGCACCAATTTTAACTTCAAATTCTAAAATTTAAATATTGGGGAAGAGTCCCCTTTTCCGACCTACTAGTTTCCATATTTAAAGAAGTAAAATAAATCGAAATTGAACTTACCCATAGAAATTGCACTGTTGCCGTAGCAAAACCAATTAATTCAAAATAAAGTTTATTACAGTAATTGTTCAAAATGCCGTCCATTATTATTTACACACACTTGCAATCGTCTTTCCAAAGAACTTTGAACATTAGAAATTAGTCTTGGATTTTGTCGTAGTTCCTCGGCTACCGCATTAACTTTATTGGTTAATTGTTCAACACTATTAATAGGTTCATTATAAACCAGTTGTTTCATGTGACCCCACAAAAATAAATCGCATGGATTTAAGTCCGGAGATCTCGGAGGCCACTTAGTAGGTCCATTTCTGCCTATCCACTTTTGAGGAAATCTAATGTTCAAAAACTGCCGTACGTTTAAATCAAAGTGAGGAGGAGCGCCATCTAGTAGGTACCACATCCGTTGCCTTAATTGTAACGGTACCTCTTCTAGGAGTACTGGCAAAATATCTTCTAAAAAGTGGAGATATCCTGGCCCATTTAATCTGTTCGGGAGAACATAAGGCCCGATTAAATACTAATCTATTATGCCAGCCCAAACATTTATTGAAAATTTTCTTTGATGCCCAGTTTCCCTAATGGCGTGAGGATTTTCATCACTCCAAATATGCGTATTGTGCATATTGAACACGCCATCACGAGTGAATGAAGCCTCGTCAGTATACAATAATATTTTTAGAAAATCAGGAATATCAACACATTTTTGAATCATCCATTCACAAAACTCCACTCTCTTTTCTTCATCACCTGGATATAAGACCTGGACTTTTTGGATGTGATAAGGATGTAAACCTTGTTCTTTAAGTGTCCGCCACACAACAAATGAGGACACTCCAATTTCAAGACCTAGTCTTCTACAACTTAATTGAGGCCGGTTTTCAACAGCTTCCAATATTTCTTCTTCGGCCGCCAATGTTCTTTGTGTTCTTGTTCTCCCTCGATCTGCATTGACACTCTCAAATTTTCCATGGTCTCTTAGATGCTGAACAGTTGAAATAAACGTACGACAGTCCGGAATTCTCCGATTTGGAAACCGTTCGCGATACAGGATTTGTGCTTGCCGAGAATTTTCTCCAGCTGCCCCATAAACCAGCACTATATCCGTTAGTTCAATATTCGTAAATAGTGGCATCGTAAAAAAATATTTAAAAGTAATCGTAACAACACTTTTTACCAACTTGGAAATGACGCGCTCGTGTTAGCCAGATTCGTAAATCAACTAAAATTTTAATAATCTATAGTTTCAAAAATGTATAGTTTAAAAACAATCATTTATCAAATATTCTAGTTTTTTGATAACAAGGGTAGTAAATACCAGTCTTCGGAAATAGAAATTAATTCGAAAATCTTGGCAACATGGTTATTTCTTACAAGACTAGTTTTCTTATCATCTGACAAAAACTTGCATATTAATTACTGTTGATGTTTAAAATAGGTAAATAAACCTAATTTATATAGGTCATCCTCAACATATCAGTGAAGTACGTTTGTTTTAGAATTAATTTTCAAAAATTAATAACTCCCTTAATAAGGGGTATTTTTAAAAAATAATATTTTTCTACATTCAGTGGGGATCTGCGCAATACCCAGTTTTAATATGAACGTGTATTTCAATAACACCCTGTATACGTTAATTGCTTCTAATACAGAATAAAGCATTTGTTTAAGTTTGTTTTTTTTTAGAATTCGTAGAAAAAGCATTATGTTTTACTTGTCGAAAATTAATTTCGTCACTCGTAAAACAATATATTACCTATTATTTTCAATTATCGAATGAATATGATTTAGCACCTTAATTTGTTTTTGTTTAATCACATCCAAGATTTTATCTAAAATCCGAATCAACAACTTTTAATCCCCAGTTTTAGTTACGAAACACGCGATTGCTGATAGGTAGTTACACAAAACTATCTAATATTGACATTCTCAAATGTCATAATCTACTGTTAGCATGTTTTTATTTCTATAATACTAATAACAGTGTTAAAAGTAAATGATATCAAATTAGCGATCTAAAACCAAGATGCTAGTTGCTAACCGGGAATTAACTTTGAAAACAAGCTTTATTTTAAATACCACATTTATTAATATAAATTGAAAAAATAATACGCCTCAGTAAAGATGGATCAGAATCAGAACTACCTTTCACAAGACCCGAATTTGGGTTTGGATAAGCGAAACCTCTACTGGGCAGGCAGTGAACTGAACAGGTAGATATAACCGCTAAACTCTCTGGAAACAGATAAGAGGACACTGAATCAGTAAGCTCAGGCTAAGTACAAAAGGCTGCTGAGGCTCGCAAGGCCCTAAACAGTGGCGGCTTGTGAGGGAAGGCGCTAGGGCGCCGCCCTCTCTGTGAAATAGCAGGAGTCATCTGCAAATTAATATTTCCATATACTTAATCAGTAATTTTTAACAATAAAAGAATCAAACACAAATAACTGCAATGATAAAGTTTATGAGCGAACAATTTAATTAGCTACGGACGAACCGGATCTGTACAATACGAATAATACGGTTTTTCTCTATCATAATAAATGCGCTCTATAATTATTGTATCGGCGTAGTATATTAGCAGCCCATAGCGAATCGCTGGGCGATTGCCATATGGTTACCGACGTCAATGTGTAGATTGTGGAGAAATTGTGGATTTTGGATACATGCGTTGGCGCCGTTGGCGAACACAGCGCGCAGCTCTGTCAGCCCTCAGCCCATCTGGCGATCGCTTTATGGTTTGTTTTGCTATGTTGATCTAGTGTGTTGTTGTTTATTTATCTTCGTAATACTTATTTATCATGAAAGTAACGGAAATAAAAAGACTCGTATTCAGACGCTTAACTTTAAATGATTTTTAGTGTTGATTTTTTGGTGCCCTTATACTCGCCCTCCCTATTACTCAAGTCACGAGCCGCCACTGGCCCCAAATATCTAAAATTGAGGGACATTGGTTGCTGAAACCCTTCATATGGATGAGAGAAAACCTCATATCACGTTATCTTCGAATGCGAAGCTCTAGCTATAGAGCGTCCCTGAAACATTTGTTAGGAATCCAAGTAAAACCAATTAAAGACACAGGTCTATTCAAACATAGTCTCTGAATACTGGAAAAGCAGGTAAATGCAATATATTCAAGAGTGTTCTAAAAAATAAAGCAAAATATATGGGTTTTTTATGATTGCTGTTTAGATAACAGCACTGATACATGTTTCTATATTGTGTGGTTTACTGACTTGGTACAAGTGTACTCCTCTCCATGGTTTTATCATCTGTTGTGATTAAATTCGTGGGAAGACAGTCATCATTGTTGTTGCGGTCCCATGGTCGCTATTACTTTATTAGACAATTATTATGTAAATTTTATTTTTAGGTATTGGCAAATTCAACTTATTCGTCCTACTAGCCACGGGAGGCTCTCTAATGTGCGTCATTGTAGAAACTATGAGCGCGATGTTCATAACTCCAGCCGCACAATGTGATCTTAATCTTACTTTAGGAGAAAAAGGACTTTTGTACTCTATCAGCTTTTTTGGAGTAGTTTCTGGATCTTTTTTATGGGGATATTTGGCTGACACTAGAGGAAGAAAAATGGTGACCATCATTTCATTATTCACAAGCGCCATTATAAGTATTATTGGAAGTTTTGTGTCTCTAGTTTGGTTGTTTATACTATTGCGGTACCTAAATGGATTTTTGTAAGTATACGTTTATATCAATTTACAATGTTTACATGCCTATCTTATTAATAAAAACCCACTGAAAATAGATTTAACAGGGTTTTTGTTTTAAAATATAGGATCTATGCAGACATTTCAATCTATTCAAACCCTCGTAGTAGTTGCACAATATACCTATGAATGTTTCCTCTTCTTCATTACAGACATTGATGTTCGCTTGATTCTCAAGTGAAAGTACCTAATCCAATTAATAAAGTATTTCGCTTCGTTTCTAAAAGATGTGATTATGGCCATATTTGAACCTTCTCGAGCTAATTCGTCAAGTTTGTTAATAATAGTACACTATTCGTCATTATTGATATCTGATGAAAGCAGCGCCTTTGTTGGTTTTTCCTGATATCTTATGGATTTTTCACCCTATCAGGAATCCTTTTGGTTCTTCCTGAGATCATAACAGGGTCTCTCCCATCGGGCTTGGGTTCCAACCTGACAATCCCTAATCAGACTTAAGTTCCAGCCTACCTTCCCTCTTTTAAGGTTCGCATGGCGCACTGCAGCCATACTCCTTCCCTTTCATTCAACTCTTACATTCTACCCATCTAGATGACCCCTCGATCTCTATGTTTTTGGTCACGCATCCAAATCGAGAGTGATCACACACTGATAAGCTCTGATCGGTGTTATGAATACCTTTTACAATCAACCTGCGACCCATCAGTTTGATACTTGATTGTTATACCTTTCTTGTTTGTGGAGAAATACTTTATGGGTACCAAAAACTATAGTGATATGAGTATTGATTTCCAGAATTTTACGAGATTAAATCTGAGAGTAGGGGTGATCTTCCTTTGGCACAGTATGTAATTACAAAATGGTTTTCACTATGCTCTCTTTAATTTTCGCCAATTTCTTTATATGATCTTTTGTTAGTTATCTGACGCATTCAGTATGTTGATACCCAACGAAATACTTTCGTTTAACCTTGAAAATATACATCCTTTACCACTTTGTCTTTGTCTCTAAGTAACCCGACGTAATGTGGTGAAATACAAAATTGTGATCAGTTTTATATGTCCATTTTGTGCTATTTTTACAACATCTAAAGATATGTTCTGTGCTTATTTATAGTAAAATTTTAAAATATGTTTTTTTTAGTATTGGCGGTTCTTCAGCAATAATCTACGCTTTTGCAGGCGAATTTCACGGCAACAGAGTTCGACCAAAAGTAGTCTCCTGGATAGCAACTTTCGTAGCATTTGGTAACATATACTTACCAGGACTAGCTTGGGTTATTCTACCACAAGACTGGTCATTAGATCTACCTTTTAACGTAGTATTTAAACCTTGGAGATTACTTGTAATAATATATTCCCTACCTAGTCTATTCTTCCTCATATTCGTGTTGATTCTTCCAGAAAGTCCGAAATATTTAATGGCTAAAGGTAGACACGAAGAAGCTTTAGAAATTTTACGTAAAATGTTTTCCATAAACACTGGCAAAACAGGTGAGGAATATCCTGTGAAGAGTATATTGTGGGAAGATGAAAATACAGTGGAACATAAAGAAAATGAAAGTATGCTAAGTTCCATGTGGGAACAATGTGTTCCTATATTTAGAAGGGGTTATATTTTGAAGACAGCTATGGTTTGCTTTCTACAATTTGCTATATTTTTAACGTAAGTAGGTATAATTCAATAAAGTGTTAACAACTAATAAATAATATCAATGTTTTAGAACATCCGCTGTAATAATGTGGTATCCACAGATATTGAACAGTATGAGCGAATTGGGAAAAAAATTGCCGGAAAATCAAATTACAATGTGTAAAGCAGTTTTATATGACGATGATATGGAAAATATGGACAATTATTTTATTCAAAGAATATTGTCATATAGTAGTAATAACGCAACAAATAGGGCATTAATGGTAAGAGGGATTACTAGATGGTAAAAATTAATATAGAAACAATTATTCAGTTCAAATATGAAAATGTTTTAGTCAGTGCAACCCAAATGTGAACGCTATTTGGTTCTCATGGGAGTTTTAACTGAAATGTATTCCTATAAGTCTGGTTTTGGCCAGTGGTGTTACAAAGAGAGGGGAGTATATTGAGAAGAAAAATCAATTACTTTTATTAGCGCCGTTTTATCGAATCGGTCTTATCTACATTAAATGAGCAATAAAAAAATTAAAAGAATATAAAATTATAAACACAGTTTATTTATTACATAATTAAATTAACATATAGGCATATAAAACTACAAAAAGCGTTTATTTTTTATAATAGAAAATCAAATGGTTCCTCTATAGCAAAGTTAAATTAAATTATTTGAATGTATCTCTGTATCTGTAACGTGTGAAGGGTGGGTTACCCCCACGGCACTTAGGTCTCATTAGGCCCCTTGTGCATCTTCCTAAGATGAAAGGCACCTTCTATCTCGTGAGCCAGCCTATACAGATTTAGGGCCCTATTCAGTAATTTATCGTTTATGGACGACATCGTTAAGCTAACGACAGTTCAACCAACGACTTTTATAACGATAATTTTTGAAACTCTATTCAATAACAAAGTCGTTACGTTGTTTCTAGTTACCAAATCTGAACGATGATTTCTAGTAAGTTGGTATTATAATTTAGTGTTTTGTGATAAAAGAACGTATGTTGATGATTGTACCGGGTGTTTAAATTAAAGTTTTACAGTTAAATATCGCCGAAAATATTCATTTTATAAAAAAAAGTATCAGACAAAAGTTTTATAGTTTTTTAGGGGAAACATTTTGGCTAAATTAATTTTTTTATAGCTGACCATAATATGGCCATATCGAGGTGGATTTTTTTTTTTTAATTGGAACCCAATTTTTTCATAAAATAATAAGAAACTTCTAAAGGAAACATTTTTTTATTGGATTTCTACTTATTAAGTAACACCCAAAAAAACTATAAAACTTTGTTTTTTTTATAAAAGGAGGTATTTAACTGTAACCCTTTAATTTAAACACTCGGTATATTTGAGATTTTTTTGGAACGTAAAATAAAAATTCTACCAGTAGATATATTCATTTGTTTTTCAGAATATATTAATTATTGTTCTTAACCTACAACACGATCAGGGTGTCGATTTTCGATTCGTAGGAATTCTGTTTCTCGCGGGCCATTTTCGAGCCATTTTTGCTGGTCGTATTGTATGTAGGGTTTATTTAAATGAGTAGGGATATATTAAAAAAAACTGAGAACTATTCCAAAAAAATACAAAAAAAACAACTCGAGAACAGTACAAGTTGTATATATTGGATTTGAAAGAGAAACCAAATTTGATACTATCAATCCTTTTTCCTGATTATCTTTTCTGTTGTCATCGGCTTCGACAACTCAGGCCATTAGCCTCGTTTTCTGTGTAGGTTACGGAGAAGTATTATTATAATAGGTACTTCCATAATATAGGTTTTGTTACTGTTTCGCAGTGCTACTTTAAGAACAGCACTGTTAATAAAAATCCAATAGTAAATGGTCGAATGGGCAATCCTAACTTTGAATCAGATTTATTTTTAAAATAATTAAATAAATTAGAAAAAATTCCTTACAAATTGTACTTGCTGTATTAGGTAAACGGCAATTTAGTTGTAAAATTTGTAAAAAAAGTGCTTTTATTATTTAGAACACATCCTGATTCACAATGAAAAATGAGAGGGAATGCAAAAATCCCTATAACGACACTTCATATTATTAACGACAGCTCTTTGGCTATCGTTGATGAACGACAATTTTACAACCATGTTTGTCTATTTTCAACGACAATCGTTGTCTACTGAATAAGAAAAGTCGTCTGTGAACGATTATCGTCTATTAACGACGTCGTTCAGAGTTACTGAATAGGCCCCTTAATGTAGTTGACAACGTCGCCAAGAGGTGCTCCTCTTATATCGGCTGGAGTTAGCCGATACTCGCCGAACACAAATCTTCTAATAAATGAAAGCGTCGAGCAATCGTAAAGGATATGCTCGATGGTCTCATCTTCTTGTTCGAACCTTCTGCAGAGTGCGGATTCTGACAGCCCCATGATATGGAGATGCTTCCGTACTTGACAATGACCAGTCAGAATGCCTGTGACTAGGCGTAGATTCTGTCTAGTCATAGTCAAGTATTTGTTTGCTGCAGTGTTGTCAGGATAACTTAGGAGCTCCCTGGCAACTCTGCAGTTTCTTGTTTCATCCCATCTTTCCTTGAATTTCACAAGGGAATGTTCTTTAATTAGGTCTGGCACTACCGATTTTGTCAGGTCAATAGAAGGGCCAGGGCCAAAAAGTATTTGGTTGGCTGCTTTCTTGGCTAGTGAATCAGCAAGACGGTTACCTTTCGATGTGGCGTGACCTTTGATCCATCTTAAGGTGACCACATTGTTGATAGATACTTCGGCCAAGCTTCGTAACATTCTAGTACTAACCCTGAGTCAATTCGTGGTCTGTTCAGGGTGAGTAGTGCTTGCCTGCTATCTGTATAGATTAGTATGTTCCTTCCAGTGATATTGTTTCTGGTTATTTTCTTTTGCTGCTATGAGAATCTCCGTTAGCTCTGTTTGAACTACTCTGGCACTATTGCTCACAACCCATTTTATGTTTAGGTTTAAGAATCTGGAGTATATTCCACATCCTGAGCATTGTTTTGTTTTATAACCGTCGGTATAGATATGAATCGTCACTTCTGGCTCTTCTATTTGTTCTATTATAATTTTATATGGCTTATGGAAGATATGTCTCGGTGAGATGGAGTCCATATTCGCTTGAAGCAGTGAGAGCGTGTCCAGCGCCTCCTGCCAAAAGCGACGTCTCGCCTCACCAGATCCTACATCAGGTTCTATTCCAACCGTGCGGAGGCGTGTCATTGTCGTCAGAGCAACCTCCTTGATGAACATTTGAACATATAAAACTACAAAAACCATTAATAACGAGAGAAAAAATCAAAAGCTATAGCAAAATTGGATGAAAATTGGTATCTAAGTGAAGTGGGTTGTATATGTTACGTTAAGAAACACTGGCAAGAACAACAAAGATTCCGAAGATTCAGGCAAGTTGTAGGGAACGTTTCTACTGAGAAATGTAACAGCTATAACAAGAATAGTGTTATTAATCTTTTATTGCAGAACCATTTTAGCTTCCACAACACTTTCCAATCTTCTTGGCATTGACAAAATTAAATGTCGCATTTCGTAGAAATCTATACGAGCTCTTCTCAAGCATTTTCAATAACTTTCTGGCCTAAAGTACCTATCTTTGATATACCTACATTTTTGACTATATATTTTCAATGGGGACTTTTTGCTGACTATGGCAAAGCATTTATGTTACTGTTGTTGTTGACCCACTCTCTTTCTATATTCGAGCTGTATGAACTGGATAATTATGTAACAAAAATCAATTATTATAAACATTTACTTTACTTAAATGCCAATTTTTTTTCAATTTTGAAAATGTATTTTACATTAATTTGTAAAATTTAAATCACACCATTAAATTATGGCGTTCACATTTTGGTTCTGAGAAATATACATTGTCATGGCATATATAAGATATCTTAGTTTCTTATAGCAAACATTTCATTGGAACAGTATAATATAACCCATCAATTTCAAGATTTTCCATTAATCATTATTTTCCATTTCTAGAATTCTTTAAAGTATCATTCTTTATATCTCGAATTAGGAAGGATAAATAAGAATAAGCACAAGCCTAATACATCAATTTAACTAATGCATTTTTGTTACAGTCTGCAACTTGCAATGACAACGTTAACGAAGAAGTATTTTTAGTATCTGTCGTGATTGGTTGCTGCTATGCAATTTGTTACCTCATGATAGGATCTGTAATAAATATAGTAGGAGCACGAAAACTTCTAAGTGGTTTTATTGTTATTACAACAATTTCTGGAGTGTGCGCTCAACTGCTAAGCAGTTACATTTATGTCCAAGTTACTTTAGGTAAAGAATATTTTGAACATCTTTTGTTGTTCCCATATTTTCATTATTTATTTTTGCAGGAATTTTTTTAATGGCAGCCACTGGCGTAGGAATAGTAAACGCGATAGTAGTAGATTTGTATCCTACTCAAATCAGGGGCATGGCCCTTGCTGTGTCGCTCATGTGTGGAAGATTTGGTGCCATGACAGGATCAAATGTTGTAGGACCAATACTGTTTAACTTCTGTGATTATTTATTTTACATTTTTGCCGCCCTACATACAGGTAATACAAATAATACATATTTGGTAGTATAGTTGCTTCACATATTATTATGAAAATTCACAGATTCAAATTGTTTGGTCCGCAATCTACCTTGCAACTTGCAGCCTTATGCTCAATTAAAAGGAAGAATCACTAGTATATAAGGCTTATCCAATCAATTTCATCTAGAATCGTGATTTGGGCTTCTGTGCTTTCCCTAAATACTGGACTTGCACCAAAAATAAATTTGGAAATAGCAAAATTGATTCTATTTTGGAAATGAAACCTACACATAGATCCTACATGCCCATACTTAGGAATTAGCTACATACGTTGTGCATACAGAGAAAGACTGGAGATGTGGACTAATAGTGTTGGATCACAATACACAATGTGTAAAATCTGCATTATTTTTCTAAAAAATGACTGAATGGACATTTTAGATATTTATAAGGTTATGTTATTTAGGTCCCACAATAGATCTGAAAAGGTCATGGTGGGCAAGGACAATGTCCAACTTCTTTCAAATCGAACCTATACCAAAAGTTCATACTAGGCAATTAAAATTATTCGGCATAGAATATTTCCAATACTTTTTTAAAAGAGCACATTGTGTGGCAAGCCAGAGTTCTTTGAGGGGAATTATTAAATCATATTTGTAATCCAATTTTTTGTTGATTCAACTGGATACATAAATTGGTCAAACCTCATAAATTTAAGAATTACAATTTAATTTTCCTATTAAATTAATGATTATTTAATTTTTTTTTAGTTGTCGTTATTGTAATCATACTACTTCCATCCAACAAATCAACAGAACAGGCTGAAAAGGAATCTAGTTAATAAAAATTAAATATTTTTTTTATGATGTATATTAGGTATTTTAATAAATTTTGTATAATAAAATGTTATTGAATTTTATTTCCTTGACCTAATTTTTAACCTAGAAGTAAATTAGGTTTTAAACAATTTAAATTTCTTAAAATATTTCTGAACTATATCTTTCGGATAAGGCTTACAAACTAAACATGTAGGAATATTTTCAGGTTGTTCTATCCATAATTTATGTTTAATACTATTTTCTTCTAGTTTATCTTTTAGTCCCAATAAACTCTTTTCATCGGGAGCTTCTAGTACTACTTTATGCATGTTATCTAGGTCTTTTAAGTACTCCTGGGTAAATTCATCTTGATAAAATAAGTGAGTAGTAGCTGTGACAGCATGGCAAGCCTGTGCTATAAGTGCCCCAACCGGCCAGTCAAGGGTTTTTAAAAGATCACCTCGTACTATAACATACTGAACAATATTTGAAGCACTCATTTTTCGTTTGATGTTATTTGTTATTTTGAAAACATACCCATATTCTGCCCATATCAAAACCGTAAACGACAGTAACCAAACTTTTTCTTCTTTTTTGTACCTGCCACAGACTAGGGATGCGCACGATGTATCGATGTTAAAAAAACATCGATTTTTCTCTTTCGATTATCGATATTTTTATCGATGTTTTTTTATGCGATGTTTTCATTTAACATCGATGTTTTTTTATCTAATATCGATGTTTTTTAATTTTACTCGAAAAATATTGGTGTAGGAAACTACAGGTTGCTTGTTTATTAAAAATGTTAATAGTTTTATTATTATGTAGGTACTTATTATTTTATTTTCGATTTACAGATTTAAAATTTAGACAGGTAGCCTAATTAGAAATTAAAATATTATTTATCCTGAACTAGTGAATCCCGAATAAAACAACTTTTGTATATTGTTCATTATCGAGTCAAAGTTCTTGATTTTGATTATTTTTTCCCATTTGAATAATGATTTATTCCATCTCAATCGTAGAAATTAAATTGATTGTTAATTGAGCGTGTTTTTTTGCAATGTTCCTATCAGAAATTTAATCTTATTATTTTTTAATAATTAAAGTTATTCTAATTTTGACTTATAGGTATAAAGTGGCATCTTTTGTAATCGCAGCAAGTGTAAAAATTATCTACTAACTATATTAAGTTGAATATATTGCGAAAAGAAAACAAATAAAAATAAACCATTTTTGGTATTAAAATCAATTGTTTTCGGAGAAGGAAGGTTGGTTATATAAAAATAAATTTGGTCAGTGAACTTATAATTACTAATAGTTCTGGTTCGTTTGCTATTTTAAAAATCTAAATCTATTATAAATTTGAACAAAATAATCGAAACAAACAACCAATGACATAGTTTTATTGTAAAAAAAACTAAAAATATTCATACATATCTATGTAAAATTACACATGTTCTTGAAAATTAACAAGTTTTGGCAAGAAAATGAAAACTGTTTGTGATGATAAATATTTTAAAAGTAATGATAATAATAATAATAATTATTATTATTATTATGCTAAATAAAATGCATTTAAAATAAATAAACAACAATAGTACGTATTTTTATTTCATTTTCATGTTTTGAAAAAATAAAATTGCATCTATTGTGAATTGAACCGCGTCGCGAAATGCAAAATTGACTACATGTTCAATGCTTAACTGAGCTAAAGAGTCATGTCAAGTGTGTGTATTTTATGTTTTTAGTCGATATTTTTTACAACTTTCAGTTCTCTGACGTCTTGTTTGCAGGAATTTTAAACTAAATCCTTGCATATGACAGTTCCTGATGGTCCCGCCTACCCCTTTACAAAATTCCAGCCGGAGGTACGATCATACCATAGACTTCATATTTTATCTAAGAAGGATCGTACTACCTTGCAGCCACCAACTCTGAGTCTATTAATATTAATAAATAAAAATAAGATTATTTCCAATGTCTTGTTTATTTGTTCGTTTATAAAAAACATCGATGTTTACAAAAATCGATGTTTTCTTTCCGATTTTTTTACAACATCGATAGTCAGTATTCGATGTATCATTTGATGTCAACATCGATGTTTTAAAAATTTTGCGCATCCCTACCACAGACCATATTGTTTATAGTACACGCTCAATGTATAATTTTCGTAACTGAACGATGCGGGGGAAATTTTTGAATGTTTGAAATAAGTAGTGGAAGCGCATTTTTTAAAGGTTGATAATCTGTGTGCCATCAAAGTTAGGATTTGATTATAAGCGGTGGAATCGGCCCTGAGACATCTTATGTTGATATTGGGGTGTTAAGTTAATACAGTGCAAAAATCTATTATTGTGCCTTCTTTTGTCTCTAATGCAGCAAGAAAAAGGGTCTCGATGCTTATTCGATCCGTGCGTGACGACAGTGCCAACTCAAATATGTACTAAAGGGTTTTTTTCGTGTATTGACAGTATCATTTTTAATAGAATTCCTAAATGAAAAATGTATTTTTTGCTTTTAATAGAAGTATAATGATTTATAAAACAAGTGAAAAGATTCGTTTATTTTTATTACTTTAGCTAAAGAAAAATAAGTATACTTATTAAAAAAAAAATTATTAAAATATGTGCACAGAACAGGTAATTAGGCAACTGTATTGACGAGGAAGTGTATGAAAAGTTGCCTAATGGAGTTGAAAGTTAATGTTTTTGTTAATATTGTAATATTTTCGAATGTAATTTAAACTTGTTTTCATAATTTTTAGTTCGAAAGAAAACAGAATTAATTATTAAATAACTGTTTTTCAATTAGTCACTCACAAAATTGCATTCCAGATACAGACAATAATCAGAATCAAAGGCAAAAATATATTGATTTTAAACATGTACTCAAGGAATTTTGAAGAACATCGTAAAATAATAATTTAAGTAGGTATATAAAACCTTTCAGTTTTCTGATGTCTAGTATTTTCAATAGGTATTTGATACTCGTTGTTACAAAAGTAAAGGTTTGTAATTACTTTTCTCTTCTTACTGCAATTATAAGTACGTTTATTTTTTTGATTTAATTTCCATTTTACCACTGAACATTTATAAAACACTGTTTTTTGCTATATAGTATTTTTACAATTTACAACACAACAACTCCAGTTGCTCATTGTATTGCTTTTAACTATTTTCTTTTTTTAAATAAGTAAAATATATATATACGTATATTTGATACACCAAAATTACAAAATTTCGCCCTAAAATGCACGAATTATCCGCAGCTAGCGCTAGTATTGCTTTTTCTTCCCCTACCATGACCCCGCACTGAGCGAATAACGACCCTTCCAATCATATCTTCTCAAGGAAGTGTAGATTTACATGGAGTGACTCATTCAGTCAAAATGTGAATGGCAGTTTCGTCCTCCTCCTGACAGAATCTGCACTCATCGCGGCTTCTACTACTCTCAGTTTACTAAGGTGTCCTTTGAGTCGACAATGCCCGGTAAGAATCCATGTTACAATTACTGTTCTTGCTCAAACACAGAGGCTTCCGATATTTTCTGGTTATATTCACCCAGAAGTATTTATAAGACTTCTTAAGAACGTCTTTGAGTTCTCACATTAATACATCTGAATTATGGCTTTTACCAGACGTCTTATATTGAGACCAACCCAAAATAAAAACGTCTTTCAGACTATCCGAGATTTCCGATTTTTAATTATGACAGTTTATGAGGACAATAAAAATCACTTGCAAATGGCATAAACGTCTAGCATTAGGGAATTGAAGAGAAGTCCGCTTGGCACTTTCGGTTGAAAGAATGTAGACATTTTTAAACCTACACCGAGAGTAGCAAAATCGGACTACAAAAATGCTTACGAAGGGATTTTTTGTTGTTATAAGCGTCTAGAAGCCAAATTATTGCATTACAAGCAAAAACGAAAGACTCCATCGATGTAAAACACTATTTTTGAATTTTACAGGTTAGATAACAGCTCCCACCACCGGGACATAGTACACCGACAGACGATGCTGTCATTAAACAGTGCCGAATTTATTTCCAATGTTGAAATAATTTTTTACTCAATTGGAAGTTTTGATTTTGACAAACATATATACGTTCATCAGCGTTGGTCTTACAGGCAATTTTAATAAGTCTTAAAATATAGGTATATAAAGAAATGTAATAGTTATTTACCTACATAGCTTTTCATAGGAACCTGAACACGACTAAATGTTGTTGTTTAATGACAGCAGGTATAAGACGGGTGCACAACTACACTGAGAACTATATTTGCTTGTCCATGAACGCATTTTATCTGAAATCAATTGTACATATTACATGAGTTTTAGATTATTGTCACTATAACATTATATAAAGTTCATTATTAGTGATGCAGAACATTGAGCTTAGAACCTTTTTTCTGATAGATGTTCCCTTACCAATTTTATTATTAAAAGAATGTCGTTGATGTACATAACATTTTTTATCAATCCAATGTTGTCGACAGTAATTGGTGGCAATATTTTCTTACTCGAAGTTGACAAAATATGTAGAGATTGTCCAAAAGTCACATAAAAAATTGTACTGCTTTTTTGCAGACAAAAAACAGTATTGAACAACACATGGCTACAATCTCCCCAAAATGCAATTCCATGTTATAATGAGACTCAACTAGAGCGTAAGCTTTAGCTGATTTTAAACCTATTTCTTTTGTCAAAGTTCTGACTGCAAAAAATCCTGTAGAAAGTTTTTTTGTTTAGCAATTCTATAGGGTTCATACCTTTCTAATTATTGTTTGAATTAATGACCAACTATTTTTTAATATTAATTTATTTAACGTCAGCCTATTTCTAACTCCGTAATACGACGCCAAACATTGCAGAGCTGTCCCATTTTTGATTAGGTCAGCAGGATTGTGTATCTTTCCACTGGTAGGGAGTTGAGTATTAAAACCACGCTGTCCATCAAATTAATCTAGTCACACCAGAAAAAAAACGGTGAAATAGGGGCTTACTATTAAAATCAGAGGTAAGAGAAGTTGGAGAGAAATAGTCTGAAAATTCGTAAGAAAACCAGAAGCCTTAGAATGCTGGGTTTTAAAAAGTTTCTACATGATTTTTTTGTTTCAGAATTTATGGATGGATATATTTTGGCTTGATAAAAGAATTATGAGTTTTATATATTTTGTTTAATATTTAAAGTACTGTTTATTTAGAAAATGTATTTAAAATTTTCTACTGTATTTATTTAAAGTGCCTAAAGGGAATAAAGTAATACAAATCGCCACGGTATGAAAAAAAAAATAATACATGAACAAATTACAATAGTATATACTCACCCTCTCACAAAAACACCACTCTTAAAATATATTTAATGCAACTTGAATAATATGGTCATGTTTATAAAGAAAAAATATAACAGAAAGTAACTGTATTTGAAATATAAAAATAAAAATCAATAAGTACTTTTAACTAAACAATTATGGATGGCACTTAACTGGTTAAGAAACTAAAGTAAGAAAAATAACTAAATTAAATAGGTAATAATAAATTTGATATAAAGAAAACACAATTACTCTACCATTTTTTTTTGTACGGGTTTTTTGTGCTTTCTTTATCCCATAAAGATTTTTTTAACTGAGATTATAAAAACCTATGATCAAATAATGCTGTAAATGTTCAAAATACGTGCTCATTAATAAAATGGTTACTTTGACAATATACATATTACAATACAAAATACATAAGTATTGTACATATTACAATATTATAATGTGTAGGTCATGGACAAGCTGTGGAAGAGTAAAAAGATTATATATTTTGAATCCAATTTACAAAGATGTAGAATTTGATGACATTTAAAAACGTCTTACAAATAAATTAATTAGTAGGGCAAATTTTATTTGGCAGTTTTTAAACCAGCAGCCTTGATATATCAGTCCAAAGGTGGAGTGAAGGAAAGGTATTGAGAACAAAATATACATTACTAAGATTAGAATATTACAGTGGCTGGGTAAAAAAAGGATTATTATAAGTTATGAAAGTATATCACTAAAAAAAATGAGGAAAAAAAGAAGAAATTCCAAGAAAACATTACTATTAGTCTTGATTTGTAGAATAAAGGTTGAGATGATGATAATAAATTGCCCTTTAAATAGATGACGGCTGGAACAATGCTTACTTAAGTGTGGGTTTGAAGTTAAAAATTAACAAATCATAATCCATACAAACTACATCAATAACAAAAAATTTAATTCTGATCATTGTTGTTAACTAACTAAATATCTATTATAAATAAAACCAAAAACGATTTCTAAAACAAACTATATAGTTTATTTAGAATTATTACAAAAAAAACTTATGAAATAAAAAAAATATCACATAATTTGGAAACATTTTAAACTTACAAAAATAGTCAATCAATTACAAAAGTGGTTATTATTAAACAAATCATTCAACAACATTTCTAAAATACTTATAAAAATACAGAGTTGGACTAATTTCGATTTTTTCAAAATAAATTAACTGTTTTACATAAAAAAAAATATTTATTTTTCTTTGTATCATCTCTTTCCATTAAGTTCATATTGAAGTCAAATCAAAAATTATTAAGAAAGGTAATAATCTGCCAGAACACATATTTAAGAAGATTCACTATAAGTACCCCCTCCAACTCTATGGAGAGTTTACAAAACGAGAATGGAAAATATTTCAGTTCTGTGAAAAGTTAACTAGGGCATTTTCAGTATTGGAATTCTCCCTAAAAGCATCTTGATTATTATTAAGCAATTTGTTTTTCCAGAAAAATTATGATTTATCTTTATTTATTTACATTAGAAGAACTACTCCTGAAAGCTTCTAAAATGAATTATTTAAAGTGTCAAAAGATGGAGTTCAAATTAAACAATGGTTTTTTATAAAAAATTTCATGAGATTCTCGAATTTTGTAGCAACGTGGCAACGTCTACTTTCATGAGTTTATACTGTGCAACGGAAATTTTATTGCAATGACTATAACAAATTTATGCTACACATTAAATCACTAATAAAATTAGTTTTCAAATGAAGTGTCACACTATACAATATGTAATAGTTTTTATTCAGCCAGGGGGAGCTAATATTAAAAGTATTGCAATTAATAGTCAATTGTTGAATTCAAATGATGTGTTACTTAATCCGTTTCCCATTTAATATTGAATAAAAATATTCAATGTGTCCCCCTTGAAAATTGACGTCTTTCCAATTTTTAAAATTATTTACTGGATGGAAGATAAGTATTAAGGCTGGAAAGTTTTCAAATTGATACCCTGTATACAAAGTAATAAAAGATAAAAAAGGTGGATGTTTTAAATTTAATAAACAATGAAGTAAACAAAAACAAGAACTGACAGCATAAGTATTAGAATAAAGGTGGATAATTTTATTATAAGAAAGAAATTCAAACAATAGCAAATAATGCTTTATAAGATTTTCATTATTTCACAATAGTATTATCCCAAATAATAAGATTACAAGTAAAACTTTAAGATGATAAAAACTTAAGTTTTTAATTAGTATTTACATAAATATGAGTTAGTAGTCATTTTGAGCAACATTTATTGGATGATAAGGATACCTTTTTGTCAGACTATCATGCCATTTGAACAAATGTCACTCACTTTAGTCTGGCAAAAAGGTATGGATAATATTATGTGAAAAACGTCATGTCTTTATTCACACAAATTTTTGTCGTTTTTATTGAGTTTGCTGGCAACATTCATCACTTTTGGTGTGTTCACTATTTTTTGTTTTTGAAATAACTCTGTGACTATGAGGTTTATTGCTGTGTAAACCAGTTTAGCATATACTACAGAGTTTCAGCTATTTTATCATGTATTTAACTAATTTTTTAACAAAAAGTTACTTTCATTGTTCTGCTGTGTGCTCTTTAATTGTAAATATCCCACAAATATTATTTTTTGTGCTTAAGATAGGAATTCTAGTATTATTTCAGATAAATACCAGATTGCTCTAAAAAAGGAGGTGCATTTTTATAAGCACCTTAATGTGAGATATACATATAGAAATACCTGAAATTGTTTTACTCACTGTAGTAAAATACATAATAAAATTGCATTATTCTCAGCTGTCAGAAAAACAAGTACAATAATTAATAAAGAGTTGCTAATTTTTAAAATCGATTTAAATTAGACCAACCCTGTAAAACAACTATTACTCTAAACTTCAACAGGTTTTTCTCCATTTTGAATAACAGCAGGGGCCTTACACATTTTAGCAATATGGCCTTTTCCTTGACAATTATTGCAAGAAAGATCTTTGTATTTGCAAGCTAAAGACAAATGGCCTTTAACACCACAACCAGAACATAATGCCCAATCAAATGAACAAGGTTGATTATTATGTTTACTTACAGGCACTGCACACCTAAAACACTTGGCCACTCTATTAATTCTAGCTTTATGATTTCTACGAGGGGGAGCAGCTGCAGGTATTCTTGAGTCGTCCCACAAGAGTCCCGTTTCAAACACTTGACTCAATGACATACTATTGGCGTTAAATTTTTCTTTAAGAGCTTCTCTAGCTCCAGTTATGAGTTGATTTCGGAGTTTGCTATGTTGTCCCTTTTTTGGAAACCGACAATTAATTATTAACTTACGCAGCGCTACAACATATTCAAAGAACGATTCACGTGGCATCTGTTTTCTTAAAGTAAATTTGTTGATGTAGAAAGAGGAATCTGGATTCGGGTAAAAATGTCTCTCTAAAGCTTCTATAATAAATTCATATGTAACCTCTGGGTCTTGAAGTTTTTTTGGTCTTATCATGACTTTCAAGGTTTTTAGAGTTTTTCCGCCTACAGCTGCTATGCAAATTTCTTTTTTTTGTTCTGAACTTATAAAATTAGCTTGAAAATATGAATCCATTTTAATTGTATATTCTAACCAATTGGCTTTCCCATAATCAAACAAGCCTATTTCGTTTATTAATGATGTTTTCAATTCGACATCCATTTGGTTGGCGTTTTCTATAATTTCTTTCAAGTTTGGAGCCCTCTCAAATTTAAAATAAGTAAAAAAAGTTAAGTAAAAACGGTTTTTAAAAGAAAGTGTTAAAATTTTGCCGACAAATTGTCAGTTGTCACTCATTTCAATGTCAGTGTCAATGCAGTGCCATTTGTCATTGTAAATTATGTTCCTCATTGCGTTCGGTCTGCCAAGTTCCTTTAACTCCTTTAACACTTTTTACTCCAAACGACCCTTTTAGCGTTCGGTTTAGTCCAATTAGTGACAGTTTAACACGCTTATGTCATTTAAAAGCACCAAAAAAAACTCCGCTTTTGTCCCGCTCTAGCCCCTGACTATCCGAACTCGCCTTTATACATTGCGTTCGGTCTGCCACGTTCCTTTAACACTTTTAACTCCAAACGACCCTTTTAGCGTTCGGTTTAGTCCGATTTGTGACAGTTTAACACGCCTAAATGTCATTTAAAAGCACCCTAAAATTTGTCCCGCTCCAGCCCCTGACTATCCGAACTCGCCTCGCGTTACTAAAGGTCTTTTCCTTTGCATCGAAAGTGTAGCACTGAGATACGTCACTTCTGAAAATATCGTTCTATCCATACAATTGGTATAAATGGAACGATATTTTCAGAAGTGGTGTAGCTCAGTGCTACACTTTCGATGCAAAGGAAATGACCTTAATTTTTAGATTGTGACTTGTGACAGATAGGTATATACGTCAGTATAGCTGTCATTTTTGACAAAGGAATAATAAGGAGAAAAAAGTAAAGAAAAGGTAACATATTTTCTATAATTTTCTTATTTATATTAAAAGAACATCGAGTTACGTTTTAATTTGTTTATATAAAAACAAGAATTATGTTTCCTGAAAATTTTCAACATAAAAATGTTTATTTTTTGCAATGAATCATCTTCTGCCAATGTTAATCAATTTAAAAATAGTTTAATGCTGTTTATTTCTAAAAATTCGATATCTCTCTGTTATATGTGTGACTTCATCTCATTATTTTAAAACATTTTTTAAAGAACTTCTTATCTTTTTGCAGATATGGCAGCCTCCAAGCTTACAAATGAGGAAAAACTGAAACGTCTCATTTATATAAGTAATGTAAATCCAAAATACTATTGCGGTGGACCAGAAGTGTTTCTGCCATTATCCAAAGCAAAAATGGATCTACTGGAAGAAATGTTAAAAACTAATTACATGGAATTCCTAAAAGTTATAGAATCAGTTAATGAAGATCCTCTTATTCCATATCGTTCTCAAATTTTTAACATTCTAGCATATTCCTTAAAGATGGAATCTTGCAATCCTCAAAGCAAAAATGCTATTTGCACTACTATTCTCAAATTAATAAAAAGTGATAAAGAATTTTTTGAGTTTATCAAACATGCTTCTAGATTTAACAATAAAAAACTTTCTAAGACAGTTAGAAAAGCCATTTCTGCATTTTACAAGAAGAAAAGTGCTATGGAATTAGCTCAACTTTATGCTGCTGCCAAAAGTAATCATGGATGGTCACATAAAGACCTTATTAAAGTATGTCACTTAAAATCCAACACCCCAGGTAATGTTTAATATAATTTCTACACTTTTGTACACATGTAATTTTTCTATTCAAGGTTTGTTTTTTGTACATTTTTCAATTTATTTTCTACCCTTATATTTTTTAATATAAGCCATTTTTGTCTGCTTATATTTCTGCAGTATATTGTGTTTAAAGTCTTTCCATTCCATGTCTCTAGGTCTGCCTGTTATTTTGGTTTTGTCTTCCTCATTTGACATGTTTAAATGATAAAGAAAATTAATTATTGTACTAACAAACCATCATAACCAGTACAGTATTTAACTTTGTTAATTCTTTTAATTGTACTTTTAACCTCTCATATTTCCTTGTTTCTTATTTTCTTGACCTCGAGCCATTTACTCTTCTTTTGGTTTTCCTTACACTTACTACCATCTTTATTTATTTTTTCTATATTTAATGCCATACCTCTGAACTATATTTATTTTTAATAGATATAAGTAAACTCAAACAGTCAAACTTATACTTTTGATTTTTTAGTTCTTTTCACTTGCCTATTTCTGAGGTATCAAATCTGTTGGTTTTTTGTTTTCTATTTTTACTTAGTTTATAGGAAAACTTTGTTCTGTATCAGCTTTTTAACTACCTTAAGATATCTTTTATAAATGTGATGGTTTAATATTTTTTAGAAAGATTTTGTCACATTAGATATTTTTTATTATCTACTGCCTGATCTACTGTTAGGGTCTGATTACAATAAGAAAAACACAGTTGGGTCATCAATTGGAGTAGTACCTAATTCATTAATGATTGCCACCTACTGGGGGTGTAGTTGCATCTTAATATTATAAAAATGGAGCAAATATTTGTTTATAACCGACAACTTACTTATTACATCAACCATATCTATGTTCAAAAATGAATGGTGCAAGCCTAAATAGATAAATTACATTAAGAAAAAACAGGGGGGAGGGAGAAACAACTATAATATAATATTTTCAAAAAACTAATTTTATATAATTAAACTGGAAATCTTTAAATACTACAAGCTAAATCCTCACTGAAAAATAAAAGTGATTGGAATGCTTTGTATTATTATTTCCATATGATTTAATAATATGGTTGCTAACCTCTGATATGACTTGGAATAGACCAAGGAGATCGATTTGATTTATTTCCTTTTAAAACTAATTTCTGAACTCATTATAGCATATTAATTATTACAAAAAAATAATCTAGTTGCTTTGTCATAGTAGAATAAGACAAACTGTTTTTTATAGATTACAATGTAGTTATAAATTACATTCTAACAAACAAAACAAATGAGAAAGAATCTGATGAAGAAAAGAAACTAATAGATGTTATAAAAAAGTCTGAGACACTAAAGAAAACTGCTGATCACAAAGTGGCTGTTCCTCTTATACAAGAATTAAAAGCAACCATAGATCATGTTGAACCTAAATTAAGAAAATCAGCTGAAGTGAGTATTACAACTTTTTTATATATGTAATTTTTAGTATATTGGATATTCTTCTCCATAGATTGTGTATTAAATTACATATAATTTTTAAATCAGTTTATTATCATCCATGCTTGTGTGGATTGTGATTAATAAAACATTTAAATCCTCAAGGTTTATCTAGAGGTTTACCCAAAGAAACATATTTTTTATAATAATATAGCACTGTCTCTCTCAAAAATAGAATAAAAAGAATATTCAGGGCATAGAGGGGGTAAATCTACCATTTTTCATTCAAGTTTTTAAATCCCTTTGTGAATAGTTTTTATGTAACTACACAAAGAAAGCTTAGCTTGAAACTTAGCTATAAGTAATCCTACTTTCCATTAACACAGATTTGGGCAAATAATGTTTCATATTATGAGGCAAAAAGTAAGAGGAAATATTACCTAGTTTTGTAGATAAAGAAAATAAAACACCGATTTTTCTGTATCTAATTATAATTAAAAAAAAAACTTGCATGTAATGATTACATTTTTTATTTAAGCATTTATTTAATTTTTGATTTTTTTATTCAAAAAAGTTACTTTGAAGGTCTCTCCTCTTCTGGTTGGCAGTAGTAATCTGGATCGCGATAAAAAACAAATTCAGCCATTATACAAGGTGTCACAATAATGTACCTTAAATTGGGGGATTTGTAGATCTTAACTAATTATTAAGAATAACTAAATATAATTTTCCTGTAATCATCCCAGTTTTTATTCTACAGGATAATAAAGTAAATTTAATAAATACATAATTTTCTAAATAGGAAAATTGTATTTAGCTTTTCTTAATAATTGGTTCATTATGATACTTTATTTTGAAACACCCTGTATGTGCACACAAACAAAGGTAACCCTAGTTATTATCAATGAGGGGGTTATTAAGTGTGCATTAAAATGGGCTACACCATTATTGTGTTGATGTAGGGTTATTCAGCTACATATTTTCACCTATTTAATGCTCCTCTTTCTCTTCACATATTTTTTCATGCTGTAAAATACCATTTCAGCAACCTTTAAATTATTTATTGTTTCGGCCTTTACTTGATGAAAATCCATATTATCTTAAATGAGTAAAACCAAATTTGGTAGATTTTTCACAAAACTTTTGTGAAAATCTACCAAATTTGGTTTTACTCATTTAAGAACCTTTAAACTGTTGCACCAAAAGTGTGTCATAGAAATGGATACCCTGTTAAAGAATTATTACTGAACATAGATAAAAAATATATATATATATACTGATAAATTGAGAACCTTCTCCTTTTTTGAAGTCTGTTAAAAACAAGTTCAAACATAACACCCATTATGCAAAACTACAGAGTCTTTAGTTAAATCAAAACTACCATTTAAAAAAGAAAAAAATTGTACACAACATTTTTTTGTAGATCACTCCCTATACTTAAATACAAAATATTCCCATTGAAATCAATACAGAATGATAACAAAATAAACAAATTGTAAATTTGGTTTTTCTAACAAACCTCAAAATATTCTGTTTGGCAGCATTGTGTGTGAGGTTGGATTTTTTAACCAGGGACTTTGTCCATTAGCCAAATTAAATTTGCAATTTATACATCCCTACAAACTTGCACCATGTAAAATGAGAGGTATGGAAACTTGCAACAAACTTGCGCCGTTTAAAGAATGTTAAAGGGGGAGATATATCCTTGATTTTAATATGGACTTATAACAAATGTAGTAGGTTTGTACACACTGACAGATAATGAAAAGAAACAACTTACCAAATGGTACTATCCTCATGTTCATGACAATCGTATAAAGAGGAGAATTTATTTTGTAATATCATCAATGTTTGTCAGATGTCAAAAGCAGAAAGCGCTTGATGAATACTAACAAAATTTACACACTTAAAAATACCTTAGTTCGTTTTTTTCTTTCATTAACTTATTGACCTGAGTGCTATATAAAATTGGAATAAATCTTTGGTAAATCACTACAAAATCAATTTCTTCTTTACTTTTATTTAGGTTTGGAATACAGCATTAACTAATATGTCTCTGGTTGAGATTTTAAAGAGTTTGCCTAAACTTTACAAGCTAGGTTTTTTGAAAAAGGACTCTCCAACTCAGGCTAAAATAACAGAAACTTTAACAAACGTTGAAAAAATTAAGCAAAGTAAGATTCACCCAATAGAAGTATTTATTTATATGAAGAATTTTGAAAAAGTTGGAAAGTAAGTTATATTTGCCTTGTGCCCATTCTCAGTCATTTCATTTTTGAATTATTTTTTAGACCACTGGACCCAAAGTTGCTCCAACATCTGGTCCAGGAAAAAAATCTGACCGAGGAGGAACTGACCAAATTGAAAACCCCAAATGAAGCCAAGTGCCCAACAGTTCTCAGCAATCTTCAAAAATGCATGAATGTATCATGCAGTAACGTTCAGTCCCTGGGAAAAAGATATTTGATCACCATAGACACTACAGATAAAATGGATACTCCTTGCTTAAGTAGAAAAAACATTACAGGGATTGAAGCAGCTGCAGCTTTTGCTTGGTTTTTACTGAGGGTTGAAAAAGATGTTACTGTGGCAGTTTTTAAGGAAAAAGAAGTGGCAGTTATATCTCTTGATAAAAGTATAAAAATATTTAATTAACAAAATATTTCCTTGACATCAATGAGTTTTTTTGTTACAGAGGGACATCTGTATGAACATGTTCAAAAATTAAGAGAAAACAAAAGCAAGTACTTATTGCTTTCTGCTCCACTCGAATGGGCTACTTCAAATAAGAAACACTTCGATATTTTCTTTAATTTTATTCATCATAAAGAATATTATGTCACAGTTCCAAAGGATGTGAGAGAAAAAATGACCAAGCCTGTAGATGCTCTTCTAAAATATAGGAAAAAAGTCAACCTTCCAAATGCAAAGTAAGTAATAAAATAACAATTGTTGATCTCATTCACAAGCACTTACTTTTACTATAACTAATTATATATTTTTAATGAATATTACTTTGTTAAAAAATTTATGTTGTATGATGGTTTCTAAAGACAGAAAAAATGCCGGGAGTATAACCTGGAACCTAGGACTTTCTCACTTCACTTTCCTTCATTAAATAATTTTTTGCAGGTTGGTTAATTTCTGTCTATCTTCTCCACACATGGAAATAGCTGATGGATCTCCCAATATTTTAGATGTCTCTGGTTTGGACTTAGGCGTTCCAAAGCTTATTGAAGCTTTTCGACGTGGCAAATTCTGTTAAATCGATTAAAACAAACTGAGTACATCCATCCTTAACAAAAAGTGTTCAATGAATTTTAAAGTTCTAATCTTGTTAGTGATAATTTTTTATACTGGTTGATTTAGTATTGTTCAAATGAACGATTCGATTAAAAAAAATTTCGATAAATGTGTTAAATTCATTCTTATTAAATTTGAAAAAATTAGTGGATAATTCAAAAAAAAAAAAATAATGTCGAATTTTTAGTATATGTTTTTACACATATCTTTAAATTCAAATTATACATCTTCAGAGGTTAATAAACAATATTCTTCTTTACATTATATCTAGAAAGGTTCATAATATTAAGTTTTTAATTTGTTTTTTCAAATTTAATCAGGGTGTTGCTAGATAAGTAGTTTTAAGATTTATCTTTCTGTATTTACGCACACACAGGCAAGATTTTGTGATATTTTTAACTGTTTTAAATTTTCGCTTTTTTTTTATTGGAAATAAAATCTACATTAAAATATTCAGTTCGATGTTTCTGTAATTTTATTTTTATATAAATATTTTTTATATGTCATAATTTTATTTAATTCTATTTATTTAATTTGTAGCTTTTATTCCCATAGTTATTTAACTTTTTCTAATGATATTTTAAAAAAATTTTAAAAAGCTTTTTTATTTATTATAAAACAAAAATGACTAGTCAGGTGAAAACAATCAGTTATACGCTCTTAAAAATGCTCACACAACAGATAGGAACATATCATTATTCTTTGAATTTCGGTGATTCATTTTTTATTTTAACCAAAATTCGGGAATTTAATAAAATGAAAAATTAAACAGCAATATAATGCGAGTGTATAATTGGTAAAAAAAATTGAATTTTTTGGATTTTATATTTTTTTACACTTAATTGATTTCTCATTTTTCGAAATAGTGATGTGCCTTTAAAAAATACAAGACTGTAGTAATTCATGCTATGCTTTATACATCATAATCAATTCAATACCACCAGTCATAATAGAGCTTTTATCTCTATGAAAATAAAAAAAATTCTAATTGTTTTTCAATTTTAATTCATCAAATTGGGTTTCTTTTTTGTTTCTCTAAATATATCTAATATAGGCTGCTTTAGTTAATTAATGATTTATTAATATACTTTTTTTATTTATTTATTAAAAATTAAAATCTTTACAGTAGGAGAAAGCAGAAGATTTAAATAAAGGGCATTGTTATCTTTATTTCTGATCACTGTAAAAGAACAGTATAATAATAAAAAATCCATATAATATTAGAATTTAGAAACTGCTGTCATTAGCTATCAGTATTTATTACTATTACTGATAAAAATATCATTTATTTTCACAAATGGATTGTTTATTATACTGTAGTATGAGTTTTAAATAGTGTGAAAGTTTACTTTATTTTTAGTGTAATCGTTGTATTTAGATCACCTAGTTGAACAATCCCAATGCAAATTATCTTTGAGGGCAATGGACAGTATCAGTAGATGGCAGCACGCTCCGTCGCGTCCTAGTCATGTCTTTGATAATTTTGTCGTCTTCTACCGAGCCATCAAACGGTTATCGAAACTAAATAACGAACGTAATTTCTGTAGGGTAATGCGTCCAACAATGAACCACTCAAAATTTAAAATCGCATAGACCAGTCAAATTTTAATCAAAAAATCGGAAACTGTATCATTATTAGCCACACCTATTTGTAATCTATTGCACATAATTTGATTTTGAAGATAAAAGTTTGTTAGTTGTACATTTTAAAAATAAAGGTATTTGGTTCATTGTGTCCCAGACGTGGTACAGACAGAATTGCCTCCAATGAAACGTCCATAAGATTGTTCTACTAGAGTATCTAAATACAATGGTATAATTATTACATATAAATATATAATTTTTGATTATTCGTAGTGTATAGTTGCTACATGAAGTAAGCTTGCTAAAGGTTACTTTCAAAAAAATGTAGATATATTTATAAATGGGAGATCTTACCTAAAATATAATAGGTAATGATTTTCTTCAAAAATTTGGACCCAAATTACTTAAAACATTTCAGATAAAATTTTACAAATCCAGCAATTTTGTAATATTTAGTTTTACTGTTTTTCTTTAAAATTTGACATTTACTTTAACACATTTACTTCATACAGTACATTTTATTAAAAATCGGAATGTCAGAAAAAAAAAATTGTTGAAGACTTTTTTTTATATTTTATATTAAAGGATATGAGGATTGAAAATTGAACTTTAAAAAAAAATACAATGTGCTGTGTGAAGAACAAAAAATATTAAGGCTGTTGATATTTATTTTAGTAATATTCATGAAATACTTCAGGGAAAATTGTGAGAGCATCTTTTAATTTTAAAAATTGAATATTAGTGTAATAATAGGTATCTGTTAGCTGCTACATTAATGTTATTATTTATGTCTTTGACAATGTAATTATGGTAATTTACCGAATAAATAATTACATTCAGTTACAGTGTTTTAATAAGATATTCAGAAAATGAGAGCCGACATTTCAACGCTCCCAGAAGGCAATACTGAGAGTGAGATCAGTCTGATAAGTTACCAAAAAGCGGTTATAATTAATGTATTACTTTTATTTTGGATTTAAAAGCAATATATACATTTTTATTGAAAGTTTATATCAAAGGAAGGAAGGTTATATAAAAATATATTCTGTTAGTGTACTTACGACCTAGTAATAATTCTGTTCTGGTCCTTATTTTCCCTTCTAAATCTGCACAAAATAATCAAAACGCAATACACAACAAAATAACCCAATTTTTTTGAAAACTTAAATAACTTTAACAAGTAAACCCCTTACAAGTGGTTAACAATGATTAATTATGATTTTCTATTTTTCTAAATATGCAAATTAAATTATGCGACTAACAATGCACTAAAGTAATATTGGTTGCATAGATGTTTTACCAAACACAAGTTTATAAATTTCGACACGGGTTTAAATTTTATCTCAAAATTTGTGTTCAGTAATAAATAATAAACAATTAAGTTCATAATTACAAATTCATAAGTTAACAAATTTTACGCAGTATATAAGTCATCGTCTCTCTCAGAACTGTCGCCAAAATTTACTCTTATGAGTTCATCAACGTTGTCTTGGAGATTATCAGCGACCCACAATTGTTTTTCGTTTCTCGATTGAGTTAAGTTCGCAATGATACGATGGTAAGCGTAAAACAGTTACCGCGTATTTTGCAACTATTTCCTCAATCTTATATTTGTCATATTGCTCTCTCTATGCATTGGCAACTTCAAGCAGCTCAGATTTTAAATAGGAGTTGTCAAAGAAAATGTTTTCTCAAACAGACAATGTTTTATTTCGGATTTGTTCCATGAGGCGGATGGAAAACTAAATTTACGGGAATGATACGAAGCGTTATCCATAACAATAACGTTCTTTCGTCCATTTTTGGGTTAGTTACCCAGACAGCACACCAAATCCTTTGGATATCTACTGAACATCCCAATATCCACTGAATGTCCAGTCCATGGTGGATATCAATTTTATATCCATGAGATGTAATTTATAGACACGCAAATGTCCATAAATAATAGTAATTATAGAGCAAATTATTAAAAAAATACGCCATTGTGGCTAATAGTACCGTTCAGATATTTAAAATTAATTTTTTTTAAGGTGTATTCAATATCTCATGGACATCCACTAAATATATCAAAGTCTAGGCGCGAACGAAAACCATCGTGGATATCCACTAGATGTTATTTGATTTTGCTTACTAAGTATAGATGGCGATACCACTTTCGCATCTACTCATGCTCGACCCGCCGTTAATTGAGTTCGATCGAAAGTTGTGTCCTAATCAGACTCCATTAGAGAATTTCCATTTATTGCTGAAGAGTCTTAATAAAGATGACTTTCTCCTTAGTGGGCAAAATCAAAGGCAGAGTGTTGAAAATATTTTGTGTGTTGAAAATATGTTTTATCTCTGGTATTTTCTTTCGACGTTATTCAATATATAATCATTGGTTACTTATGAACCTCTACTAAAGATACCCATAAAATATTTTGCTGAATATCCGAATATCTTCTATATCCTGGGATATAGACGGACATTTGGTTGGATATCCATATTGGATATATTGAATATCCACAAAATATATTCTGTAGATATCTCTGGGATTTCTTGTATTGTCTGGAAGATACCCATTATATATTTTGCTGGATATCTTCTATATTCTGGATATAGACGGACATTTGGTTATCCATATTAAATCCACGGAATATTTCTGATATCCTGTGGCTATATTGGATATCCACAAAAGATATTCTGTGGATATCTCTGGTATTTGGTGTGTTGTCTGGGCAGTGTATCATCTGCAAATAAGTGTATTGAGCGTCTCTCGACTACACCAGCAATGTCATTAATATACATTAAAAATAATAGTGGACCTAGAACACTACCCTGTGGCACCCCATATTATTCTCTATAGAATCTGAAACACAATTACTTACCTTAACCTTCTGTTTCTTATTTTCCATATAATGACCCAACCAGTCCAGTGCACAACCCCCCAAACCAATAGCTCTTAATTTCATTAATAATCTACCCCTATTAATAGTATCAAATGTCCTCTGTAAATTTAAAAACACCGCCAGGTAACCAAATTATTTTCAATTGATAACTTCCAGTCATGCATCACCAACTGTAAAGTAGTTTCACAATTGTGTTTACTATGGAATCCTGATTGCATATTACTTTTTCTATTAGTTTTCCAATAGCACTGATCAAATTTATCGGTCTTAAATGGGTAGCCTTACTTGGATTCGAAATTTTTTGTATCGGAATTATTGTAACAATCCTAATATCGTCCGGAACTAAGCTTGTTTCAATAGAAAAATTTATAATATGTAATAGAGGTTGGAATAAACTCTCAAAACATTCTTTTAATAAAATTGTGGATATTTCGTCTGACTATTTTTATTTGACATTGAAAATAATATTTCTTTTAATTCATTATAATTAATTAGTTTAAAATTTACAAAAGTTTCAATTTCACTTAGATGTGGTATAATCGGATAATTATTATAGAATTCAGCAATATGAATAATGGGGAAGCTAATTTTTTAGCATTACATTTGCTTAGTTTACACCTACCCTAAATAATAAGGCATTATAATTTTATAAGATAATAAGCAGTGGATAAAGTTTTGTTTATCTTCTCTATAACCTTATGCAGTAAATTATAATAGCTACAATTTGCAATATTATCATTCAAACTTTATTTTTCGATGATTTTAATTATTGAAGAAGGATGCAGAATTAAAATAAAAACAGGATTTGTATATTTATTTAACTTGCAACAAAACTATCGATAGTCTTCAAACAATATTTCACTAAATCAAATACTTGAAGCAAAAATATATACACATTTAACATTATACGGCTAGAAAACCTAATAGTTATCTTATGACTAAGCAAAATAAATACTTTTTACAATATTTAAAAATATTTGCCTAATCCTTTTTACAGGATCCCTGTATATCACTTTTTGCATTTGTACAATGAAATATTTTTGACATCACAGACAAATATATAGTGAATTAATTTTTGGATTTTGCTAAATAAATTTCAAAATTACCTTTACGAAATAATGATTATTTTAGAGACCCCAAAGTGAAAAATTTAAAAAAATTGTGTTTCGGAACAAATTTAAAAAAATTCTGTGGAGGGATATATTTTTAAAAATTTTCAATAAATTGTTTTTACTTTGGGGTTCCCAAATAATTTTCATTATGTAGTAGGGGATAATTATTCTAAAAATTCATTTACTTTAGTTTTCGGATGGTACAGCCAATGGTTTTCTGATATTTAAACCAATTTTTTAAATAGTCTTTGTCTTTTTATTTGTGCTCACTTGCTGCAATCAATATCTCATCCATGCAATCTATTATTAAAACACAATAAACTAATATTTTGACAAAAAATAATTAATTCATGAAATATGAATTCTTTAATATATAATTTATTATTCAACAGAAAATTTTGTAATGCTGGTACACTACATTTTAATTCTTCTTTATGTGATAATTATTTAGGACAAAGATCACAAAAGTGACAGTTATTTGACATCAAAGAACTAACTCTGCTGTTAGATATGCTTAATAATTATGCGAATGTATTGAAAAAGCAACCTTTAAAAAATAATTCAAAATCACTATTATTAAACACAGCATCTCCATTCATTTTTTCATTTAGGAATGTTTTTCGCTTGTTAAATCTATTAAAATATTTTTAATATCGGATGAAAGTTGAATATCGTCCACACTTTACAGTATAATTGATATAACGACGTGTCAAGTGATTGACAGCATCCCAGAATGACTGTAATGTCAAGTAACTATCTTATTTACTAATAGATCTGATTCGGATATTAAATAAGAGTTGTAGTTCAGATTCTGATAAAGAAATAATGGAGGACTATGTAAGCCGAAGACGCGATATTAGTGTGTATCCATGTTCTCGCAATGGCTAAGCAGTAAGCTTTCCGGCCACGTTGTCGATGAGTGACGACTGGGACGTTCCACTATGGGATTAGCGACTTAACGTTATCCATCGAAGACATATAATTAATGGCAGTGACTAAGTGCAGTGAATGGGAAAGTAGGACCCTCAAATTATGGTAGAATAAGCCGCAGGCTGCAGTTCCGCCGCTACAAACGGATTAGAGTGATAGCAGGATGGAAATTAAACAAAAAATCTCACGAAAGGATACCTACCCTTCACAAGCTGAAGGTACATGTGTTGAAAAAATCACTCAAAACATTCGATCATATAAATAGCACAAAACAAACTTGGGAATGACAAATAACTCATATCAAGAGGAAATAATAAAAGCACTAAATGGAGCCTGTGCCACTTCCATGTCTAAAATCAATGGAACGGCCAGAAAACAGTCGAAATACTGGTGAACGGATGAGATCTCAATGCAATGTAACAGGCCGAGAAGACTTAAAATGCGAGGGAACCAACAAAATGAACCAGAGCTACACAACGCAGCTTTATTGAAGCAGGCTAGAAAAGAAACAGAACAGCTTAAAAAAACCTGTATGAAATAGTTGAAAAGGCCCCCAGATAGTGATGGGACAACTCAGACCAAGAGTACTCAATATTCCTGAAGATAATAGAAATGACATTATCGATACCTTGTTCCCGAAGCAAGGCAAAAAAATGGGTGTCTGAACAAGGCGAAGATGAGACAATCCTAGAGGTTACTATGGAAGAGGTAAAGCTAGTAGTCCAAAAAATAAGAAAGTCCTGGACCGAGTGAAATATCCCCTGAAATCAACAACATGGCCATAATAGTCCTCCGAAAACTTCCACCAAATGATAGAAGGTATCAGTGGGGTAATCCAACCTCCACACGTTACAGATACAGATCGTTACAAAAAAAATATTTCCACTCAAATAGAAAACTGGCAGTTAGTGAAAATCAAGAAACCAGGAAAAGACAAAGTAGTACAGATAGCAGAAAGAACAAAAAAATTACTAAAGGTCTAGAGGATACTACACCTTGGTTACTGTGGATATAAAAAAACGCGTTCGACACTGCTTCCTGGAACAGGATAGGATGAACCAGAAGACGAAAAATGCCCAAATACATTAGATTGTTAATAATAAAAATAGATAACTGTAAACTATAGCTTAGTCTTAGGTCCTATACTCTGGGCGATACTATATGATGGATTGTTAAATATTGATCTCTCAGATAACATCAAAAAGTGTAATAAGAAAAAAATGAGATGCATCTCAATAATCATGGAATAATTGGGTATACAGCAGTATTTTTACCATCTTCATTAACAACGATTTATAAGTAACAGTATTTCAACCCCTTCCGAGATCAATTTCCGAAATATTTGTTTTACAATAATATATCACGTACCTACAGTGAAATGTGTTGTTGTGTTCAATTTATAAAATATGTGATCAGCATAATCTTTAGTTTAGATACACCGTTGCCATGACAAGTGAGTGTTTATTGACAAGTAAGAAATATAGATTACAGCATATTGAACTGTTTAATACATTTCTCCACTACTGTTTTTCAAAAATATTTCAATGTTACACCAATCCACCTAATACTTGAACGAGTAAAGATATTAATTTACTAAATAAGTTACACGAGTATATAAGGGATAAAATGCAATGTTTTTTTTTGTATACGTTATAATAGAATTATGTACACAAAATATTATTTACACATATCAATTATTATTACTTAATAAATCAGCACCAAAAAGCAGGGTATAATTATTGAATATAAAAAAAGTAATATTTTGTGCTTAAATGACATATTTCAAAGAAAATTAAAAATAATGGTATTCTGTCCGACTTGTTTTTATTTTGGGTTTAAAAATGTTAATTGAATTTATATGGAAATTTATTATAATGAACTGTATACTGACAACAATGATTGAGAAACAAGACAAATAGATTATCATTATCCTAAATATAAAGGATAAAATAAGTACATAAATAATGATCAGATCAAGACAATCACAATAGATCGTGAAAAAACGTTTTTTTGTGAGAAAAAAATGGCATAAAAAATTATAGGTTTAATAAAAAGGTTTAAATAAAAAAAAAATACTAATTATTTAGCATTAGGTGATTTAATTATCTTCATTAAGAAAGTAATTCCACGATCTATTTAATGGAGATAAAATCAGTTACTAAAAATAATCTAATTAAAAAAAAACGAATATAAGGCCTATTCATAAATCGTTTTTGACAGAACAACATACATATTACTTCTGAATGTCATTTTATTTTTACCTGCTTATTATAAAAGTCTTTATTGAATTATTTACTTCAGTTTAACAATATTAAAAAAAGAAAAACAAAGTAAAAACGTTTTCTTCAAAAAATATAATTTAAAAATACGTATTAAACTCGTTTATTGTTTTTCATTCAGATGACCAATTATTACATCTTAATATATTTGCCCCATGGAGCAAAAAAATACTTGCTTTTTCATAGAGGGTGATTTTTTTATCGTGACATATCGGAAATGGTAAGAGATAGAAGTTTGGTTAAATAAAATAAGAGTTGCGTATTTAAAGGATCAATGTAAGACCATAATTGAAAGGTACAGTTGATAAATCAGTCAAGTTTAATAATATGTTGTAGTTTTAAATTCTGAATCGTCCTGTACATAAATGAGTTGTCTAAGTGTAATGTGACACCCACATAACATCAATGTTCTACGAATATACTAAGAACGTTATGTTTATGTTCTTTTTGGTATGTCCTTTCTAGAATGTTCTTAGAACATACCTAGTATATACTTTGAAAGTATATTCTAGAATATACTAAGTACGTGTTTTAAAAGTATGTTCTAAAAAGTATATACTGAGTACTTGCGTTAAAAGTATATTCTAAAAAGTATATACTGAGCATGTGCTATAACAGGATATTCTTATAGATACTAAAAGTCATATACCCAGCATGTACCTCATATTTTGAGAACGTTCTTATAGGTAAAAATTTACATAAAATACATGTGAAAACACGTTTATTTACATATCTATGTATATGATGCCGATCTGGTAAATCGCTAGTAAACGCACTAATGTTGAGTGTTCAGGCCAAAAAACATTCACAACCTTAATAAAAGAGAAAAATTACATAACCTACAATTTTTTTATCATGCTGGAGCTTGTAATAGGTAAATAATATAATAAAAATCAATTGTATCATGCGTTATATATAAAAATAAACAAATTTTACTATATTTTTAGTATTTAGGACCTAAAAGTGATGTTAGAACACAGGATATCCCAAATATTAATTACCAGTGTGAATTTATTAATATGGTTAATACTAATGGCGAATTGAAACTAAAATACAGTGTTACCAGGATTACATACACACTTCCTATGAAAAGAATCTTGTAAGGCGAAAAATTGACCTGGAAGAACTAGAAAATTAGCTGAAGGGGGATGAAAACTAGAAAATGCTGATAAGTAATTAACAAAAATATATTTAAACTTTCACTAAACATAATAATCATTTATGCAACTCTTGTTTTTGTTAGTGGAATGTAATTTTTAATGTTTTACGTTCTACAAAAATATTTAAAATATTAGTTATGTACTCTTACACTTAATTTGTATATGTACCAAGTTTGTTGATATTTGTTTTATTTTTTAGGTTCAATGAAGATCCAATGCAATACATCAAGCAAATGAAACTCAAGCCATCGATACAATAAAATATTGATTGGTTAAGGCAAAAGAAAGAATTTGTAACAAACATAAGAATAAGTATGAATTTTTGAGAATAAAGATTTAAAAAATGTTACGATTTTCATTACATACTTATTTGTTCATGTTCAATATTAATGAAACATCTTGTATTAGGGTGTCTGATAAATTTAAATACTTAGCATATACTATCAAATAAAAGTAGGTACTTATTGGATACTGTACACATACTTGAAGTACATTCTCAGTATCTCCATAGCACGTGCATAAACAACGTCCCGTAACATATACTTAGTATATTCTGAGAATGTGCTAAACGCAAATAAAGTATATTCTCAGCATATGCATATTCCTAATAAGTATATACTAAGAATATGCTAAGAATGTATAATTGTTATGAGACATATAGTAGGTTGAGTACCCTCTCGATACTGTACATATAGCAGAGGACTTGGGTGGTTTATGCACATTAATTTAACACTTTGACAAAGGCCGTCTAACAAGAAAAAAGAAAACGCTTGGGCATAGAATGAAATACTGACAAAAAACATTATTAAATATTTTGGCCTTGAAACATTTTTTATCCCGAAAATTTTGTCAGAATGGACTTGGCTGATTTAGGCATTGGCCTCTTCAATTTCGATTCTTAAATTACATGGAGAAACTCATATTTTGTGTATAGATAACACATAAAATCAAAATATGTACTAAATAGTTGTATTTGGGGGAAAAGTGGAAAGTAATTAACACAGATATATTAGTTTTACCTGCTTATATCGCAAAGTGGCTTGTACATGTAATTATACTACTAAAGTTTTGAATAGGATTTAAACCTACAAACTCTTGCATTCGAGTCAAAGCACGATATTCAAGGGCATTTCCAGAGAGAAGGCGATGCCCCCCTCAGATTAAAATTCTTGTAATCCATGAGCCTTTTATTAAAAAAATATGCTAAAAAGGGAATGGTAATGGTCCCCTTTGATAATTTCGCCTCGAGCCGCTCTTGACCATATGTCTGCACTATGCCAACCCACACAAAATTTGATGATACTGTACTATAGGTCAAATCCAAGTTACATCCTCCATTTTTTTATAACTTCAAAAATAAACGTTCTATAAGCAAAATACGAATATGACAAGCTATGTGATTCCCAAAATAATTTAAGAACTGCAGCGAAATTGGTAAATCATTTATGACTTTTCGTCTGCACTTTTGTTCCATTTAACAGACCTTATATCTCCTGTCATTTCTTATAAACCAAGATTAACTTATGTTAAAAAATCACCTTATATATTACACAAAAATATGTCTACACTTTATGATTGTTCTCATTGTAAATAAAATACTAATTAAGAACCAATGTACTAGTTAAGCTTCAGAACGTGATTCCTACCAAAGCTGTGTAAAACTGGCAGTCGAATATATTAAAAGATTTAAAATAAAGAATCATTTATGTTACAAGAGTCGGTAATTCTGTCGAACATTTTAAAAGACTGTCAAAAGGAGACTTAAGTTGAAAAATGTTTTTATTCCAATACAAAATAAAAGATTCATTATTTAAATACAACCCAGCTCAGATTCATGAAAATAATATCGCTTAATAAAACGAGGAAGACATAATTTTGTGTAATTATAAAATACCAACACAATCGAAAAAGTAAAAAAAAAAATAATATCGCTTGTGCCTTAAATAGCTATTTTTCCGAAAAAAATAATCTCAAAAGCTACTCAACAAGTTTTTATCAACCTACATGTAAACGTTCAACAACCTCAATAATTTTTATAGAAACCAATACTACTGAAATACGGTTGAGGAAATTTGAAAAGACAAATCTACCAAATTATAATTTTACTGACTTGAAAAATGTTATTACTGTTTTATATTTGATTTGTTACATAGCCGTTCAATTTTTACCTGTAAATTATACAAAAAACACATTCAAATAACCTCAACAATACCTTCAAAACGGTGTTTCTTAATTTTAACTTCAATTTAGAATAAACCTCCCTTTCTTCCAAACAATAAGGAACTGAGCGTTCCTAACGTTGAAGTGTGTTGTTCTATGGGTTCTTCTGGTTTTGACATCGATACTGTACCCAAGTCAGATCGAGTTAAACCACCTTGTTGTTGTCTGCGTTGTTTTCTCGAATTTAGTTGCTCTAGTCTACGATTTAAAGCACCGCTACCAGGTTTTCCTGGGATGCCTAAGCTGCTTTTGCGTTGTGAAACTAAAATAAAAGTTTTAATTAAAAGTAAAAAAGACTTAATGAGTCCAAACTAAAACAATTTTAATCCAACAATGACTTGAATATTTACAGATGAAATAGCTCTATTAACATGTTAACTGCAAATATTATTCGTTGCTTATTTACCTGTTGGGTCAGAAGCGCTAGAACTAGCAGCAACAACCTTTTTTCCGATATGTGTAATATTTTCAGTGCTATGACTTGGCAGGAGGCACGTCAGTTGTGCCATGGGACTAGTCAGAGCTGGCCTAGCGTATAAAGCACTTGGATTTCCCATTAAATTATTTATGCCCATTCTCTCGATCCTACCAACAAGACTCTGTAAAAGAAATATTTTAATTAAATTACAGAAGTATATATTTTTCTGTTTAATTTGTTTATATTTTATCTAACAATGTGATTATTTAAAAAAAAATGCATATCTTTAATTTTTTTATCAATCACCACTTATTTACAGTATAGCGTCGATAATTTTTTTTGTTTATCAATGTAACATGGAATCTTACGTTTTTCAAGTAATTAAAGTGTAAATTTTAATAAATACCTCAAAATTGTACATAATGATTAAAAAAAATTCGAATTCGAGTTTTTTCGTTTCTTTGCATTTTCTGATAACATTTACCATAGTAATGTATATATTTTTTTACACCATCAGAAAGTAGAGATTTCAACGAACAAAAAGCCCACCGACTTTTTTAAAAGCAGATATTTTGACGGGAGAATTTTCGATTGAAAATTAGGAAAGTCAAAATAAGATGAAAAAATAAATATTTTAAATCAAAAAAATTACGTTGTGTTTGGGACATAAAAAGGTAAGCTTTCACCAAAGGAGGGTATGCTTATCTGGGTCCCATGCTCCTGGTCATAAGATTTTGCACACTTATATATATTAAAAAAACATTTTCCGAAAATTTTAACATTCAAACTATTCCGGAACATTTTCAAAAAAGCTCTTTAATGGCGGAGTTACTATAGAAATACGAGTACCTAGTTAGTGTAGCAGACTGCGTGATGGACTTATCTCGAATATACAGAGAGATAGAAAGACAATGTGTTATAGAAGCATTTTAAACTAGGCGAGGTTTTGAACATCCAAAAGTTCTTGGTGTGATAGCAATAAAATCAGGCGCACTCAGGCGATAAAGGTAAAGAATTACTGATCGATGTCAGTAAAAATCAGCCAACAGAAAGGTTTACTTTTGCGATTTTGTTTCTATTCAATCACCTGTAAGTGCACTCTTTTCGGTTTTTAAATTTGGATATTGCTGTCTAATGGTGGTGGTCTGCAAGTGGTCAATACAAAAAAGCTCCATCAGTTTAAAAGTTCTTTAAAAAAAGCCTGCAACAGGTAATGTAATGCTATACCTTAGCTAACACCGCACATGCAACAAGATCTTTGACTATTTGGCAGTTTGAGCGGTACATTTTTAATGTTTTCGCCATTCCTTTCACCAATTTCAATATCTACCTCGTCGTTATAGACATTTTCAATGATGGGAATAGGATCTTGTTGGATATTAGGTTGTCTTATTTCACTGCCTTAAGAATAAAAACAAACAAGATTTATTATGTTGCTACTATAAACATTGCTTTACTCTACCTTGTCTTCGAAACGTAGCATAGCATTGGGTGCAAATGCGCGAGTTTCCCTATCAAAGGCATACCCTCCTTTCGTGAAAAAAAATATTTTTTTGTAAAAGATAAAAATAAAAACCAAAAACTTGGTTATTTCAATTTTTCACATAAATTTTGAGGTCATGTGAAAAAAATGTAAATACAAAAGTTGTAGATCTTTTTATTACCTACAACTATGCCATTTAACTTTTTTCCACAGAACTTGTAGTTTTGCCGGAAATCGAGATAAACCGTTTTTTACCCTTAAAAGCTCATCCAATTCCACTTCCCGACCTTAGATCGCCCGTAAATTATCTTTCCTTTTGTTATATTCTCTTCCTTTTCCAATGGGTTTCATCCTATTTTTTTTTTAACTTTTTACCATTTTTATCCTTTTTTTTATAAAACAATAGCTTAACTATTTTCATACCGTTATCACTTATTATAATATACTTTTTTTTCAATTATTGCATGTTTAATTTATTAAAATTAGTATCTTGTTTACTCAAACTAATTGCTCAAAATATTTTTAAAAATTTCTAGACAAAAATAACTTTGTTTCAAACATTTTACTGTCTTGTGGATTATGTTTGAATTTTTGTTATTACTTTTATTGTTTTGTATTGTTTTTCGTCTAAACCTGATAATGGCCGTCGGCCGAAACTAGTTATCTTACGCTCTACATAATAAATTTAGTTTTCGATTGTGGTAAAGACTTTGCGTTTCCATCATTTATTTAATAAAATTCGGTTTGAAATTCCAATACTTTTAAATTAAATGACTACTCACAAAAAAAAAGGATTTTATCAGGTTTTTGAGTTATTCTAATATTCACAAATCAATTATCAGCTTTTATAAAACAATACAAACCTATATGATGATCAAAGACACATTATTTACTTAAAAAAGTCTAGATATTTTTATTAAAAAGGTAAACAATATTTTTTAGTTAAATCGTTGCCAGTACTTCGAATTGTATCCCAGTCAAAGTCCAAAGATCTGTTTAATAATTTATTAACATTGTAAATGAATGATAATTAATATGAATGAATCTATTATTAATTGTATATTTCAATAAATTAGTCTAGGTTATAAATAAAACTCAAAATAGATCTTTGGACTCGTTTATTTACTTTATAAATACAAAATTTTAAAAAACAATTTTTTAAGAATATTAATTTTCTTTGCTTATCATTTTGTATTCATTTTAGATTACTTTTATAATATTAACCAGTCTTTCAATTTTGAGCTAAATAAATTGTTAAAAAAATATAATTATATATTTGCAAAAAATGAAAATTTGATAGAATGTATTAGTACGAGTAATACTGGAAATGATTCTGATTTTTATTTGAAAGGAACAATTGGTCACTGATATTACAAAATCCTGCTTTGACCACATAGATAATACAAATAAAAGGATTTTATAAAAACCAGACGTATACCTACCACTTTCACTGTTTTTTTTTGCTTTGGGTGTCTTTAATAAATACTATGTGAATCATTTTCATATTTCATCTCTCTCATAAACAAATATTTATCCCACTTTTTTGCTTTGACGATTATTATTTCAATCTTTGGTATCATATAGCGGATTCGACTCAAATGCTCTTGCTCGATGACAAAGCGCTTTTAGTTCTGAATTGATTTTGGGCAGAATTTTTATAATTCAAATTTATATCTAGCAGTGCACACAGCAAGCACGAGCTAGAGTTCGACATTAATGTAGCGCAATTTATCGTTATTCGACTGGCACAGTTAGCACTTGACATTTCAGATTTCTAACAAATTTTTAACGATATTTATTTATAGTTGCCAAACCAAAAATTAAATCTCTATTAATTTCAAAGATTTTCCATTATCACTAATAATAAAGACAAAGATGGTAATATATTTATAAATATGAAACAATTCCTAACCTCCAAAATGACACTGGCACTGAAAAAAAGTACAGTTCCAAAAAATTCGAACTTTGAGCAAAAGCGCCTGCCAGTCGAACAAAAATTTCACTATGCCTTGGTACCGAGCAATTTCAGTCGAATGCAATAATTGACTTTTAATTAATTAGGTTCTGTCAGTCGAACAAACACCACTTAAAAAAGTCGAACTAAATGCGCATTAATGCAGCCAGTCGAATCCGCTATTACTTGTTACTTTCCTATCTGCATACAGATATAAGGAAAGTATAGGAATCATGATTTTTTTCGAACTCGAGTTTTCGACGGATTTTTACGTTTTGAGGTCCCCTGAATCCGTTTTGATTATTTTCGCGATGATGTCTGTGTGTGTGTGTGTCTGTATGTCGCATAACTCATGAACCGATACACAGAAAAACACCAAATTTTAAACTTAAGTTTTATTTCGGCCTGACGTGAAATGATTAGATTTTGGACATAGTCGGAACATCTGGGGGGGTACTTTATGGGAGGCAACTTTTATATTTTATGGAATATATCTGTTATTAATGTTTGGAGAAAAAAATTGTTCAAATAAAAGTTACTTCTAATATTTTTATATATAATTTTTGTTTTATGTAAAAATTTCCTGAAATGGTCCGTATTCGAGAAATTTGACAAAATGTGCAAAATTCTGATTTTTATGAAAGTTTTTGAAATAAAAGTTGTTTGCGATATCGATCTCTATAATTTTTGTTTATACATGATTTTTCTAAAATGGACCGTAATGATAAAATTGTAGGAAATTTAAATTTTTCAGTATTTTCGTTTTCCATGAATATCTATAGAAAAATGTTTCGAGGTAGATGTATGTGGACAATGTATATATTTAATTTATCCTCTAAACATTTATAGAGGTGCTGCAATAGGTTGTACAAAATAACCGGAAAAAGCCTATAATAACTAGATAGGAAAGTCATGTGTTGGACACATCAGATTTTTTTTTAGTGTCATAGGTATCAACTGCTATGGTTATTAGCTTCGTGTTATGTGTAGACTTTGTTACTGTTTCCCAGCGCCACTTTAGGAACATCACTGTTAATTAGAACCCAACAATTTCTGTAAATATTATTTTAATCACAAACTGTCAGATTTTATACCTTGAGCACTAGGTAAGCTGTATTAAATTGGAAAGGGTTTCAGTACCAATCACAAAAATGCCTGGAAAATCGACAATTTGCATCATTTGCTTCGCCACTTGTTTAAATAAAAATGTTTATTTACTTATTTCATAATACATGACTGTAATGTCACACATATTTGTATTGCTGGACTGAAGATGGCCATGTAGGCCGAAACTAGTCACTACACTTAAACATTTTATGCTGTGGTATTCAATTAAAAACTCTTTCAAAAACAAAACCATGTCCAATCGACTTCAGTATTACCTATACTAACTTATCTTAATAGAAGAAAAGAAAAAATACTTTTGTTACTGTTAATTTAAAAAGTATATAAAAACAATATTAAAATAATGTTGGTATAATATTAAATTTGATTTTTATGTTAATATAGTTACTTTTTTACAATGAGATGTAAAATAAATCAAACATGCAATCACTTGAAAAAATAATTCACATTTAAAAAAAAACGACACTGAATTTAATAAGCTGTTTTTTATAGATGCAAAAGATAATTCACACAAATTATCATGCAATAAAAAAGTTAAACTAAGTCAAATATTTAAAAAGTGTAAATAATATATGAGTACAGCCATCAAAAATATAAAAAAACATGCTTAGATTTACAAATACGCAAAAGTTAAGCAAAAAATATATTAAAAAAATAATTGAAAACGATAAATTGTTTTTCCAAATAAATATAAATATTTCGAGACAAAATAATATCAAATGTTTTTGTTTCATATTATCAAACAATCCGTAATTCCGACATTCTTATGTTAATAAAAAGAATAAAACATTTAAAATTTGTTTGGAGTAAGATGAAAAATAGAACAAGATAAAATCAATAATTAATATTAACTTAAATGATCCTTAACTTTTGAACTATTAATAGGAAAATATAGTAAGGGTAAATATACATGCTGTAATCGAGATAAATATCGATAGCTAGTTCGTCTAGAGCCAGGTATTCAATTATCTGGCTTTTAACAGTCAATGAAAACAGTCATATGGATCCTACATTACCATAATATGAATTTTTGCTCAATGTGCATGTTTCATTATAGGATTTGATGGGTAATGTATTAGCAGTAACTAATTGCTTCAGAAAGTACAAAATCTATACAATAACTAAAATTCTTATTTTTTTTTCATGTTTAAGAAAAACAGTTTAAAAAAATTACGAATCCCCCCCATACATAAAAGCCATATGATTTGTATTTCTATAAAATACTGTAAAATATTCAATATTCATTTTAAATGATATTGGTGTGATATTATATTTAGTTTCTGAATAATCAGAATTAAAGCCAATTATAAAATGATCTTGTTTTCATTAAATTCAGAATTACGGATCGTTTGAACTGTCAATTATATTAAAAATAAAAACCGTCCAATATTTTAAGCTTAATACCATAATAAAGATTTGAAATTAACTGATACCAACTATAATTAAAAAATAAAATTATTTGTAAAATGTATAAAAATTGGAACTGTAAGGCCCTAAAATTGACTCGAGATTCCCTTTTGGTATCCCTAACAAATATATTAAGGAACTAACACCAAGTTGCTAATAAATAACAGCACATTTAAGAAATATTAAATGCTTTAGAAAAAATAAAAATGTAAGCAGCATCTACTTAGTTCCACAATTACCTCTTGTTTTTCAGCCCTACTTCTCTTATTTTTAACCACAGGAACCTTTTTCTTCGCTCCGCCCCCTATGGTATCTCTGAGGAAGGTGGGGACTGAGCTTAAGATAAGTTGAGGTAAACTTAGTTCTTCATATGGCTCTGGAGAACCTGGTCTCGTAGACATAGGACTACTGTCGGGACTGTTATTTGGAGTGGCTGTAGGTGTAAAGCTATTAGGCCCACACGGAGTGGAAACGCATGACGGAGTTACAGCTTTGATGCCTGAAAAACAAAAATCAGTTTTTTTATGTTGTCGCTAAGATTCATGTTAAGTAAAAGTACCAGTCCAAATAATATGAAACGAATGATTATCAGTGCAAGAGGTTGTCAAAATTTGTGTAAAGGTGTGGTAAAGGTTTCAACTTATTGACAGTTTATTATTTCCTTTATTTAGCTAGTTTGTTAATATCAAAGTAAAAAAACGTATATAATACAGATACAATTAAAACTGACGAATTTTATTTTATTTTATTTATTTACAGAAAATCTCTTTTTACAAAATAATTATTATCAGTATATATTTTAAACCTAACCTAAAGTATCACACAAAAAAGAAAAAAAAAAAAACTTAAATATCTTAAATATCTTAAATATCATAAAGCTAACTCGATAAGTACTCCCTCAGCTGATTTTTAAACCTAAACTGACTAACTCCCAAAAGATCAGTGTGTCTGTTAATTTCATTTCCTTGCCTTTGAAATCTTGTTAAAGGACTGTTGAGTCCGTAGTTCGTATGATGGAAGCTAATTCAAAATAATGGTTTCTCTCTAATATTTATGTTGTTTAATCTAAAGTTTATTAGCTCCAACATATCCGGACAAGCTATATTCCCTTCCAGGAGGTTATAAAGAAATAAAAGATAATTACTAATTAAAGTTTTTTCAACTGACAATAAGTTTAAATGGTTATTAAGCTCCTTCTTAGAAAGATAAAGCATATGTAACCTCCACTGACAAGTTCTTAGAAACCTATTTTGAACTGCTTCTAAATTTAAAATATGAGTCCGGTAATGAGGTGACCAGACTGGTGAAGCATATAAGAGGATTCTGCGCACTAGTGTTAAGTAAAGGGTCCGGAATGTAGGCACAGAGAATTCCCTAGAGTTCCTGGTCACAAATCCCAATGTTTTCAGAGCTCTACTAATGATGGATCTCATGTGTGGGACAAATGTCAAAGAACTATCGAAGATCACACCTAGATCCTTGATTCTAGATGTTGTTACTGTTTCTGGAGAAATATTTATTAATTAAATTAGTACATTTTTTGCATTCTCCCAGGAAAGTGTGCAATTTATTTTGCAGTGTAACAACAATGTAAAGCAAGCATCTTAGTCGTAATTGCCGATATATACATAAAACGTGTGCTTGCACACAACATCCTCACTTCAATTTAATGGACGTCTCGCGCTTTCTAATGGCAACAGCTTTATATGACTAACATAAAACGCGAATTCAATAGGTGCAAGAAGCAAATGCTTCTTTTTGAATGACCATTATTGATAAAAAAATTAATATAGATGATCTTTCACTTGATAAAAGCTAAAACTAACTTAATTTATGTATGCTATTTACATTATGCTCAATTTAGTGCCATATTTTTCAAAGTTAATCCGCAAACTATAACCAAAAAAATTATCAAGGGCGAATTGGGATTGTATCTGTAATTTTATAGAAGAAACATTATCAGGGAACATTTGGAAGAATGTATAGTACTGTTTTACTTAAAATTTTATTTTGACATAGTTTAATTAAGCTAGAATTTATGAAAAATTTAAACACTCACCTCTTTCATTCAACATCTTCGCCAATCCGAGGGTTGTTGAGAAAGTTGAACATGAATTCCTTCTACTCATCTGTCTCGGGGTTTGTGGTGGTGATGGTTGAATACTGGAACAAACTGAGGCTACGCGACTTCCTCTCTGACTGTTTGTTACTGAAGTTCCATCGTCAGGATGCATAATAGTGCAATTGGTGTAGGTGTAAGTATGAAATGAAGAGTCGAAGATTTTGCCGGGGTTTGTGTATTCCTCGTCTTCTTCTAAGTCACTTAAAGCGTATGATTCTAGGCCGAGTTCTTCTAGTTCTTTACCCACTCTGAAAATGAAAAGTTAATTAATTACTTCACAAGCCAATTTTGTTTTTTCTTTTTGCAATTCTTATCGATTATTTGCCCTAGTTTCAATATCTGTTGTGCTCTCACCTTATTTTAACACCTGGTCTTTCTTCCAATATACCACCAAAGGTAGGTTGAGCCAATTGTGACCATTGATGTAAAGTTTGTGAACCTTCCATCGGTTTGACGATCTGCAGCTTCTCAGGTAACTTCCAACCATGGTAGTAACCGGAGCCCGTCGACATAAGGCTATCTGGTGTTCGACAACCAAAAGGAAGGAAACTATCCCCTTCGTAACTATAAAGAGAATAAAACCATAAACAGCGGAAAAATTGGTAATGTATCTAAAAATAGTTTAATCAATGTTTGATGTTGAAGTGCACTATTATTAACAATTGAATATCAGTGATATCTTACCCTCCAAATGTAGGTCCATGTTGAAGATTGGACCGTCGAGCCAAAATTTCTCCGGGGGTTAGTCTTTTAAGAGCAGCTTCCAGTTCTGTAGCACCAGGTACACCGGGGATGCCTTTTTGCGGTCCACTTCTAGAAAAACAAAATCAAAGTTTAACAAACACAATATTATAATGGCGGCTAGAAGCCCCGATTTAACTTCGTTGGATTTTAATGTATGGGGACATCCAAACCAAATCGTGTATGCAACGGAGGTAAATATGCGCGAAGAGCTAATTGAAAAAATAAAGAATGGAGCTGAGATATTGCGACAGAACTTTTCGTATCGAGTTACTAGGACAGAAATAAGAAAAAGGGCTCCTGCTTGTATATTTGAAAATAAATGAGTTATAAACTAAATTTGTTAAAGAATTTTTTCCATTACAATTTAAGAATGTTGTTTCTTTTATTATAAAGTAGGAACATAATTTTTTTTTGTAATTATTGTTTTATTATAAAAAGAAAAAATAGAGTGCAAATTTAGAATATCATTTGAAAGAGAGTGCCTTCATTAATTCTTGGCAAACAATTTACGTTTAATTTATTATAGAAATTTCAAAATTACTAAGCAGAAAATAATAAGTTTACTACTTCTTTACTAATAATTATTAATATTATGTAGTTAGAAATTTTACAAAAACAGTTTAGGCCGTACCTAATTAAGGTAAATTTTAACACCGACATTTTTATTGCAACACTTGATTAAAAATAAATCAAGTAATTTTTTCTTGCTATAAATGTGAATTTTGTTTAAATTAAAACCGTTACTCTTACAAATAAAAATTATTTATTTAATAATAAAACAAAAAGCTAATTCTAAAATAATGTGACTAATTTTAAAGACAATGAAATGGAGTAATTTGTATGTTTGATGTACTATAAAATTTTCGAAATTTTTGGCATAAAGAAACCATTAGTTAGAAACTGGGCAAGAAAAGTTAAGTTTAAACCGAAATAATTTATAGTTAACATTAGTATTTCAATAATGTTAATTTGTGTTCTTTAGCAGTTTAAATATTTCATTTGTACTTACGGATATCCCTCCTCAGAATCAGTCTGACTGGAATCCGAATCCGTATAACCCGTAGAATCAATACTGGGATAGCCCAAAGAGCTATTGCTATACAAAGACCCTGAAGATCTTCTTAATTCTGTACCAGACTGCATCCTAGAGCTCATTCTAGGTCCACCACCAGCACCTAAGCTACTGACATAACCTCCCATGCCAGAATGCATGCTGCCAAGGCTATCGCTGCCGCTGAGGGAGTTCTGGGAGGCACAACGGACAGTTTCGAAAACTTTCTTGTATTGAGGCCTAAAATAACACGAATGTTGATTTCGATTCTACAGATTACAATAAAAACTTACACTAAATCTGGATTTCCGATACCAGAATCTCCACTCATATCAGAATGCATTGACATTTCCAATTCGCTCTGCAGACTATCATAAGCTCCCATATTCGTTTGTCCCAATGAAGAGAAAAGCGATATCCTAGCTCCAGGCATCTGTTTTTTCCTAAGTTTGCGCAACTGGTCCTGCGCATCTCGCAAAAGAGCTTCGACTTCATAGTATCGCGCTTTAAATTCTGATAATTCGACTGCAAGACTTCCTTGATTTTCTTTTGTAATTTGGAGCAAACCATTGACTTCGTCGTTTTCCGATAAAACCTAGTAAATTATATAATAAATTAATAACATTTAAAATTTTTGGAGATGGTATTATATGTCAAGTAGACAATAAAAAAGTGTAAAATGAGTGTAAAAAAGAATGAGGTTAGTTACTTTGTTTTGAGTTGTTATAATCATGGAGGTAGAAACGGGAAGGAGATGCAATCACGTGACCAAAAGTGTCACCACGTCCGCACATATTGTTACTACACTTCCTTCACTTGTGACAGCTTATTTTGTGATGTATTGTTTAATCTTTTTATATTAATTATATACTTTTATTTAAACTATTTGTAAAAAAATCTCAAAAATAACTATTTATAAGTTAGAATTTGTTTAATCACTCTCTAAGAAATAAAAAGTGGACTGTAATAATTTAAAAAAAAACTCGTTTATTAACAAAAATATATAATTATTCTGCCTACGCGGCAAAAGGAAGCTTTCAACAATAGCTTTTTACAAAATTTTACTCTGTGAAAGTCTGAAAGCAACAACTTTTCTAAGCTAAAGACCAAGCTTGCTTCATCGACACATATTTTGTCTTGAGAAGTTCGGGAATCGTCACTCACGCGGATAAAGCACAGAGGCGTACACTTATTATTAATTGGGTCCTTAACAGTATAAACACAGTACATAGCGGTAATAAATGTTGATATAGTTTTCAGAATTAGATTAAATGTTTTCTTATCAACGATAGTAATAAACATTAGAAACTATAAGCTAAATTAGCATACAACATTTATTTACAAAATAAATACACTTTTGTTCATTTATTGTAGATTTCCACGTGATCTAGAATGAAGTAAAAAAGTGCGTTATGTTTCTTAATTTAACTTCTAAATGTTATGTTGGTCTAACAAAATATGTCAATTTATGACTTAAGTACGAATAAAATTGACGTCATTAAGTACCAGATATTAAAGTAATATAATTATATTATTTAAAGTGCAATAAATTCATTTTATACTGATTGCGTTTGTTTTATTGTTATACAAGTGATTTTAAAATTCATGTCCAGCACACGGCTGTATTTTGTAGAATTACTTTGTGGTTCATGGTAAAGATAGAAATAATATTTTTCTATACCCGCATAAACTACAGAAAGACAAAGTAGACAATTTCGTTTTACTGAACGAATATAATTTCATATCCATTCTAATCACGGGTATGAAATCCACCAATTATAGTTCATGTTTGGAGATCAGGCTATTAATATTTTTTTAGAATTTTAAATAAGTGATAATTCTGTCAAACTAATTGTCAGTAATTTTTTAGCAATTGAGATTAAATATAATTAATAATGGAGTGATTCTTGTGAGGAATACATAATAGCATTCCTAGTGATGTGCCCTAGGGAACGTTCCGAAGTGACCAAAAACTAAGAATTTTTTTAAAGGCACAAAATTGAATCTTATTTTATAGCCTAATAACCCTCTGCATCAAAAAAACTAAGTTTTTCATCTGGTTTGTAAAACTTTTGTTCGGTTTATTAATTTTAATGAACATTCCCGAAAAGTTCAGGTGCATAAACATCCTGCAAGTTCTTGCAGTTAGCAAAGACACTTCGAATATTCTTTCCAAATATGACTAACAAATTTTACTCGATGATGACACTTTTTGGATCCAAGGTAAGAAATTCTAAGAAAATTGAAGGAGACGATGCTAATATTTGGTTGGCACCTACTGCCTTCAAAGAGATATCTAAAAAATAGATAGTGGATTGCAAACATCATCTTTGTCTAAAGCTGAAGAAAAGAAAATGTCCGAAATAATATCAAACTGGAAAGATTTTGCTTTGGGACCACAAAGCCTAACAAGGTAGCTATTAAAACGAAGAAGAAACTTTACAGGCTTTAGAATTTTTTGATAAAGTAGCGGCGGAAACTGATCAGATTTGTAATCAAACACTGCTAGCTAAAATGGCAGTTTACCGTAACAGATCTGCTCCTACCTTTTCCAAAGAATTTATACGGAAACCAGAACAAAATATTTATATATAAAATTGGTGAAATGCAAAATTGCTTACAAAATTTTATTTGCACCTTTAAACTGAGCGAACATTCAGTACATTTAGTTGGTTACGTAATAAAAAAATCGGTAAAATGTTTACCCAGAACTTCCCTCGATATATAAAAACAGGGAACTCAACTAAGGGGTATTTTAAAATTTTAGATACTAATTTTACAATTACTTATAAATGGAAAATATATTAACACCTGTTATTTTTAAGTAATAAGTACTGTATATTGTAGAAGATTAAACCACCAAACATAAAACCCTTTATCACCTTTCTCTCTCTCTGTCGATCTTTCTCTTTATCCCACCCGAACTCATACTTCGCGTCAGCCCGGTGTTCTTCACCTCGTTTACCCTTATTGAACAATAATCATGGGCTGCTTTTAAAATGGTCCAGTTACACAAACCAAAAGGAACGTTTTTATTATTTCCATTCAAAGGGGACCATTTTTGATTAAATACGATTCCTATCAATGCCGTTTTGTCATTTTTAAAACACACGTTGTTATGATTGCTTTTTACTTCCCTCTATAAAAAGGGAAGTATTGTAATCGTAAAAAGTCACCTACTGAGATTATTTCAGATTTTCACATTATAAGGTCCCTAGATTACAAAAAACGTCTGTCTGTCGGCGTGATAGCTCAAAACCGGCTTTATTAGTCCAATCAAATAGGCCTTTAATTCAAAATTTTAGAGAAAATACAGGAATTTTTGATATAAGTCACTTTAGAGTATTTGAAAACGATATGTAAAAAAATTTTGTTTTTCAGGCACCAGCAAATGTCAGAAAACAAGAAAATAAAGTGTTTTTTAAGGTTATTTAAAAACGGTAGGTGCTATAAAAAAAGTTCTCAATAAAAATTGTAAAGCATAAAGTTTTACATAAAAATGATATTTGACATTTTTTGCTATTATTAAAACTGACAGAGTTGTGGTGGTTAGAAATTAGGAGGAGACATATATGACTTGGAAAAATCATAGCGAGCTGAAAATTCAACGATTTTGTAGTTTCTTTTTATTATTTACTATAAATTTATTTTAGGAAAAATTATTTTTTTTTTGTTTTTTTAAGATATGACAATTTTAATTTAGAAATTTTCAATTAATTATACGAATTTATATGGTAAATTTTGAAGTAAACTTATTAGCTTGACTGACATGAAAAATATGAGGAGTGAACTAATAAAAACGACATCGCGACAGTTTGGTCTCGACTTGAAGTTCCATTAAATAAAAATAAAAAGAAATAAAAAAGAACTAAATAAATATATTAAAAAAATAAATGAAAATAAAAATAGGTAAATAAAAATAAATACATAAATAAAATTAAACAAAAATAAATAAAAAGATAAAATTAAAAGAAAATAAATAAAAATAATTAAAACAAAATTAAAAACAATTAAAAAAATAAACAAAAAATTTAAGTAAATAATAATAAATAGATAAAAAAATAAAAAATAATAAAAAGTAAATAAAAATAAATAAAAAGATAAATGTAAAAGAAAATAAATAAAAAGAAATAAAATGACAAATATTAAAAAAAAAATAAAAAAAATAGAAATTAATAAAAGTAAATAAATAAAAATAAATAAATATTTATTTTTAATTTTTATTTATTTACTTTTATTAATTTCTATTTTTGTTATTTTTTTTATATTTTTATTTATTTTTAATTTTTATTTATTTTTATGTATTTTAATTTATTTTTATTTGTTTTCTTTTACTTTTACATTTTTATTTATTTTTTTAATTTTATTTATATATTTATTTTTATATTTTTTTAATTTACCTATTTTTATTTTTTTAGTTTCATTTTTATTTTCTTTAATATTTTTATTTATTTAATGGAACTTCAAGTGGGGACCAAACTGTCGGGATGTCGTTTTTATTAGTTCACTCCTCATATTCTTCATGTCAGTCAAATAAGTTTACTTCAATTTATTTTACCATATAAATTCGTATAATATATTGAAAATTTCTAAATTAAAATTGTTATAAAAAATAATTTTTCTTAAATTTATAATTTACTGAGTAAGTAATAAAAATAAACTATTAAATCATTGAATTTTCAGCTCGCTACGATTTTTCCAAGTCATATATATCTCCTCTTAATTTCTAACCACCCTAACTCTGTCAGTTTTAATAATAGCAAACAATGTCAAATATCATTTTTATGTAAAACTTTATGCTTTACAATTGAAGACATAAGTAGATAAAGGTGTCATGTCACATTTTTTTTAAAAAAATATTTTTTTTTGCTTAATATATTATATTTTTTGTTTGTGATAGTTCTGATTTCCAATTTTGATAAATAACGGCTATTCATCAGATAGGAAGGTTTTATGAGCCATATACATAGCCCTCAGAAGGTCTAGATACCGCATCGTAAAAACATTTTGACCCCCCATATGATGGGCGCCATGATAAATAAATGTCAATAAATTTTAAGTTGGCACTTCTGACAAGACAGAATCGGCACAAGTTTAGTAATAAGCGTAAGATCGGCGTTCGACGTATATAATCGATTTTATTATCTGTTGTGTTGTTTATTTTGTTCTTCTAGTAAAGGTTTTATTTAAAACATTATTTTTTAGTTTAGTCGTTTAGTGTTTTATTTTAATAAAAAACAATTGTGGTTTGGTGTTAAATTTTTACAGGATTTTCAAAATCTCTTGTTGTTTTGTACGTGAATGTAACAATGCATCCAACGGTAGAAGATACAAGAAAGGAATAACATTTCATGTGTAAGTTTTCAAAAATATTTGTATATTTTCAAAATCAAATAATTTGTGTTTTGTTGTAGCATACCAAAAAAACTTAGGAAAGAATAACTGATAGCCATAGGAAGACCATTGAATCATTTTGTGACTTTAGTATAAGCCCAGAAAATTTGGGAATACTAGCTGAAAAGGCAAATGTGTTATTGGCTCCTTGTTAGTGACCTATTGTACAATTTTTCCAACACACGTTCCATGATCCTTTGAACTTGGCTGCACCTTACTGATGAAGACCAATAGTCAGAAAAACGTGTCGACCGTTACGTCTTTTTTACTTTTTTTTATTCGGAAAATGTCCACTATTACTACCTTGATACAATAATATTAGTTCCGTTCTAAGTAGGTACATATTATAGTTTGTATGTTTTATGCTTTATTTTATTACATGTAATAAATGATAGGAAATATACTTTTATAGTAAATAAATTGATTAAAGCAATATGTAAGAATAAGTTTATCTAAGGATTAAATTGTTAAAGCAATTTTTCAAATCCATTGTTTATTAATTTGTTTCATTTAATTCTTTCTTATTGAGTAAGTTATTTCATATAAATATGCGATACTTGTAAAATGTAATATTTTCTTTTAATAGGTATATATTATGTTTGTATAAAATATTGTTCAGTTAATAAAAACAGTAATATTTTGTCTTTTATTCAAAAGAAGATTGTAAATTTTTCAAAATATATTTACCTATCCCAAAAAAAGATTAATAAAACCAGTTAGTCATATACACATTTTCTATATATTTATAGAGGAACTTTTTAAATAACTTTCAATACATTCGAAATCTGTGGTTTTATTAAACTCAATGTAACAAATAATAATAGGTATTCTCAAAAATATTTAAAAATAAAATCGAGATGGGACTCTTGTATAATTTAGTGACTATTCGCCTATGGTTAGTGCACTGCTGTATGTCCCTGGGTTTTCTACATTAGAACAATACTGCTTCTCCACTCTAGCAGTATTTTGTACATCTCACAAGATTATATTTATTAAAAACCAAGGAATTGTTTTGGGCCTATTGCTGTGCCCTTTTCCAACATTCCCAAAGTTTTTTTTTACTTTCTGCTGATTGGATCTCCGATAACGACAACTCCATTTGTTGTTCCACTAGTTTTTTATCAAATTTTTAAAATAACTTCTATATATTTATCTTTTGCAACGACTTTGTTTACCTGCTTCATAATCTCTTCCCTATGCCCCAATTTCTCTAACAGGTGAGATCTTATACTCGTTCTATTAAATCAAATTATCATTATAGTTTATTTGAAAATGCTTGGTAGCACAGTTTTTATGGCAAAGGTCCATATTTTTATATAATTTTGCTATTATTCATTTTCAAATAAACTATAGGAATAGGAGTAATCTATTAGTTTTTCTAAAAATACCTTGTTACCGATGTAAGTATATCTTTCCCTAGTTAAAAAATTCGAGTTTTTATTTTCGTAATATAAATAAATGACCGGTTAACAATCACATTCTTTTAAATAGTACATTTGACATTGAAGTAGGTATTTTCTCCATATTGCCAAACAGGAACAGATGGTTTACTTGTAATTTGAATTATATTACATAAATCTCACTGAATTTATCTACAATTCTCATAGCAATATGTACACAAAACACTTATCCAATAATGTATATAACCATGTAAAAATAACATTTCAAGAACGAGAAAATTTATAAAACCGGTCCTGTCTGAACAGATCCAGGAAAATCAAATAGGTTTGTCAAAGTTTTGTTCTTAATTTGAAATTAGAAATTGTGCGTCTCACTCACTTATAACTAATAACAAAGTGCAGATTATCGGTGTTCACGTATTACAGAACACACAAACTAAAAATCAGTGTAGCCAAAACATAAATTTACCTAACATGGCGACAAGCTTGAATGGGTTCATTTTTTTGTATTGACAGCATACGCCAAGCGGTATCTAGACTTTCTGAGGGCTATGGCCATATATCATAATGCAATTGTAAAACTTCAAACTTGTTTTTCTCGAAATAATTTTTTTGTGACATGACACCTTCATCCACTTATGTCTTCAATTTTTATTATGAACTTTTTTATAGCACCTACCGTTTTTAAATAACCTTAAAAAAACACTTTATTTTCTTGTTTTTTGACATTTGCCGGTGCCTGAAAAACAAAATTTTTTTACATATTGTTTTCAAATACTCGTATTCTAAAGTGACTTATATCTGTATTTCCTCCAAAATTTTGATTTAAAGGTCTATTTGATTGGACTATTATAGAAAAACTTCAAATTTTGTATGAAGATAAGGTTGCTTTCTGGCTCGAAACCAGTTATACTTCCGATCAGTTATATACAGAGTGAGCGAGTTTTTAAAATAAATTGGTATCTGAGAATTTTAGAAGCCAAAGATTACAGATCCTAAATAATTTGGAATTTATTTTATCAACGAAATAAAAAAATCAGCATCTACATACGGCCATGTTTCTCCGTTTTATACATTTCATCTTTATCGAATATAGAAGCACTATCCATTATTCTACTTGTTTTTTAAGTACAAAACCACTTGGACACATTGGGACAAGTAATTAAATTTTTGAAAGGTAAAGACAGCCAACGCACAAATAAATTTAATTGCGGTGTTTTTCGCTATACATTTTCATTAAAAAAAATGTTTTTTCTTATAATCTCACCTACCCCTACCCATGTCTCTAAAGAGGACATTATTTTCAGTCTACTGTATATTTAATATTTTTGTTAATTACCTTGTGCAGTTTTCCCGCTGTATCCTGAAGTTGCGCCTGCAAGGCTAAAATTTGTTCATGCTGGGCCCTATTTTCTTCTTTAAGCCTATCAATTTCGTCTTCTAAGTAATTCATACTTGAATTTGCGCAAGCTAAAAAGAAAAAGGTATTACAATCAATTTGCAAAATGTTGATGGAAAAATAAAAAGTCCTTGAAAGTATAACAATCAATCACATTTAATTTTTCAACTTATCTAATTAATCGTTTCTATGATTTTGAAATAGAATAGAAAATAAATTATCTTTCAAACTATGCTTACTCAATTGTCCTGTCAAATCCTTAAGAAGTCTTGCTTCTTGTGCTTCAATATCGTCAGCAGTCGAGGCTAATGAACAATATTCATGTTTTAACGCCTTATTTTCTTCCTCCAGAGAAGCTAAAAAAAAAAAATTGCAAAGCTACATTTCATATTTAAATTAATTTTTTTAAACATAAATAAGCAATAGTAATTTCTTCTAGTTTATTTTGATTATGTGTTTTCTAATTTAGCTTTTAGTATAACTGGAAAATTACCAATATTTGTTCAAAATTATATAATTTAAACTTGAACTTTACTTATTTTTTTTATTGTACAAAATTTTCCAATTATAAAATTTAAACTGGAACTTTACTTTTTCATATTAATGACGCTAGTTTTACTATCAATATTGACGAAAAACGAGGACACGAGACCTTTGGATAGTTATAAGAAAGATATAATTATATTTAATGCCGTAATTATTTCAGCTTTAAAATTAATTTCACAGAAAGTTAAAATCAAGCCTTATTTTCGGTGAAAAATATTTTTCATTGAAGATAAGGGTTCAGTAACATGGAATAATCTACAAATGTCATCCAAATGAAACACTTTTTCTTTATATAATGGAATAACGTTTTTTGTATTTAAATTTGAATGGTAGACTTAATATTAAAGTGTACAATTGGATATCTTATTTTGTTTACAAAACGGTATTCCATGTTTTACCAATATTTTACAATAGTAAACAACATCAGCGTTTCAAATTTTCCAACATTTTTAAAAACACTCACAAAAAGCCGGTTCACAATGTAACATTAATAAAAATAAAAATAGCTACACCTACTTTCCGAACATTCTAACATTTTAAACACCAAAAACCCAATTTCCCGTACATTAACCACTTGAAAAAAATAGTTACGAGTATTACAGATTTAACTGAACTAATTTTACATAAAGAAAATAAGATGAAATAGTTTATATTTTGAGACTCGTACGCACAGACTTAACGATCTAAAGTCTAAAACAATTTATGTAATCTGATTATGGTAAACAGTACAAGGTTATTATATTTATTTAACTTTGTTGCTCGAATTATAAATCTGTTAATCTTGATTGTATACATGTCTGTTAAGGTAGGTTTTTTAGTGCAAGGGGTCAGGCGTTTTGTAGACATCTGCGTTTTTAGCATCCTTAATATTTTTATGATATATAGGTGTTTGCCATGATTTTACAAAAATGATAAGAACAAAAATAATAAAAAAGATAAATAAACGGTGAAAAAGATCATTATTTAAATTGTAAAATTTACTTTGTACCGCGACGTCCTCTGGGAAAATGGATATATACTTGGGGTTCTTTTTGTCCATTCGTCATTAAAAAAAGATATAAAACACATATTTTTTATGAGGCACGATTGTCTATTAAGCATTCCAACGACCTGTCCAAATGGCTGCCTGCTGGTTTTGACATTGTTAATGTTGTACAGTGTGTCTACTTAAGTTGGAACCATATGGAAAACTTCTTATTATTGGTTTTGTGAAAAAAAGTATTCTTGATAAAAAGTTCTGCCCTGTCCAAATCTTTAAATGTAACAAGCAGGTATTAATTTTTATAAGCCGTATACGATGTTTGTCAAAAAATATGATTTTTGCTGAAGAGTAAAGTACCTTAATTGTTGACAAACCTCGTATACGACTGAAAAAAATTAATATCTGATGGTTGCATTTTAAGTTTTGGACCATGCAGAACTTTTTTTCTTAAGGACAGAGTCTCCAAAGGATTTGCGGTCGAATTCTGTACTGCGGGACTGCCTAACCAGTAGTGCCTGTAGTCAAATATTTGGAAAAATAATCTACTCGCCAAAATGAACAATCGATCCGTTGAATTTGTTATTTGCTACTCACGGAGTTCTTAGCGCAGAATCATTTCTAGCTGGATACCGAAACGACGGAAGATCAATAATTTAGTACAAAAAAAAAAAATATAGTTATATTATTTATTTTTTTTTAAAAACGACTTTTTTATTTGTATTTATTAATTTTATATACCTACATACTGATTGCTAGATCCATGTTTTCAAAAAAAGATAAATTTCATTTTTTAAAATACGGAGAAAATTTATAATAACCTATAATTAAATGACCGATTTTTGCTTTAGCTGAAAACGAAATATGTAAGTTTATAAAGATGATGTATATAAATTAATACCATTAATAAAGGAATGGGCAGAGCTTGGGACTTTGGATTCGACGATTCGAGTTTAAATCCCATAGTATTTGATGGCGTATATCGTTGACACCTGTGGAAATAAATATTTACCTCTTATATTGATTTTAAAAGAATTTTAAACTCCCTAAGATAGAAAAACAAATTGCTCTCATTTTCATTGTTTTACAATATAACAAATATAAATACTGGGATTAAATTAAAATGATTTCACTTTCCGTAAGTAGGTATTAAGTACCTAAGTTTAGACAATTTATTATTATAGTACTTATTATAAGACTTAGAGTATCAAAGAAGTAGTTATTTGAATTTAAAATTCATAATGTTCATAGATTAAGGTTGTAAATCTTATTAAAGTATTAAGAAATAAAAATAATTTAATTTTGACTACCTGCATTCTAAGAAAAGTGAGTTTCATTCTCAGTAGAGAAAATAATTATGAACATCACAGTAACAAAAGATTAAATTTTTAATATTTTGATTTATTTCCATTACGTTGAAAGGTAGTAGGGGGAGTTGTATAAAAAACCGATTTGGTTCTTGAATATTTCTATTTTATATTGAGTGGTGAATAATAAACAATATTTCCGTGTAGAGGTATTTTAATATATGTTAAACTAGTTTAGGTTATTATATTTTTAATTTCAAGTAACAAAGTCGGAATGCACAAATCATTGCATTAAAAATTATAGCAAACATCTTTACAACATAAAGAAGAACACTAGAACCGTTTGTTTAAAGACAAGGAAATATTTAACAGGTGATATCATACAAAAATTGGTAAAGTCAGCACAATTCGCGGTTTACACTAATAAAGATGGAAGCGTTGCACAACTTAAACAAGATTTAAGAAATAGTGTAACACATGTTTTTGGTAATCATGTTAACTGCAGAAAAAAAATTTGCGATGTTAACAACGATATTAACAAACTTTCCGAATTCACATTATCACGAGCTCACCACCATGTATATACAGCATTAAATTTACTTTTAACAAAAGCACATCTTCTTTTAGCCAACGAAACAACCAGCAAAGCAGAATCATTTATGAATATTATTGCTCGTTTCAATATGGGAAAACGATTAAATCTCATTCAAAGGAACGGTTTCCAAAGTAGGTGTGTTTTGAGCGCTCTTCGTTACAATAATGGAGTTAATTGGCACATCAAAATTTGGAAGTAATGTTTTAATAGAGCAGCACCCCATTTTCTAAGGAAATGGGTAAATAATGAGGATCGTGACAAAATTAGAAAAAGTAAGGCTATAAAAAAACCAAAACCATCATAAACAACGGAGTACGGATCTAATATTGCTGAGGTAGACATCAGTGATGAATGTCTTAAAGAAGAAGTTAATAAATTAATTGACCGACTAAAGGTTTTAACATGAATATTACGTTTTTACTTTTTACATGATTTTATATTGAAATATTTTTAGGTGAATAAAGCTTTCTGCATAATCTGATAAATATTCAAAAATAATCTTAAAATATGAAGAAAAGTCAGCTGACTATAACTAATAATGTTTATAGATGGTTTTCAACGTATTAAAAACAAAACCAAATATTACAATAACTAAAATATTCGCTTTTTAACATAGCACCAATAATCCTATATTCTTCAATGTAAATCGTGTGTTTGTGTCCGCACTTCCCTAATCTACGGGTCATTCTGACTTTGATCCAACGTTGTCATATTTAGTAATTTCTACTTTTTTGGTAAATTTCAGCTTTTTGGCTAGTTTTAGTAATTTTTTTTTTTGTAAATTTGAGTAGGTTTCTATAAATTAATAAAAAATTCTAATTACTCAAATAAAACTTGCTATTTAAATAATTGTGTTGCTAAAAATGTTAGATTATAACTAGGGTTGGGTAATTATCAAAATAAATAATCCATTATTTAAAATAATCGGTTATTTTAGATTAATCGATTATTATTTATCTAGCAAGTTAGTTAATAGTTGTAGTAGATTACTGATCTGTATGCGCATCTCAGGATGCAATTTTTTGATGTATGGTGTCAGCCAGTAGTGGCTTTGAAGTTTTTTCTACATTTAATTATTTATAACTTGTAATGTTTATGTCCATATTGCGACTTTAATAGTTAGACTTCAAATGTTCAATTATTAAAATGGTTCTTTAACAAATAACGGTTTATAATATTGACAATTAAGAGGGAAAAGTCAAACATTGACAAACGTAGATAATAGCTGGAAGCTTTGAAGAGGATTGAAAAGTACATCGATGTTGAGTAGATTGAAAGGAAATTTACAAGTGGTTCTTGGGGATAACACATGGAAAAATTGATTTTCCTTAACAGTAATATTTTCTTACCCCAAAATGCATTTATTCATTCAAGCTGATATGTTTTTCGGGACTAGTGACGATGTACGTTTTCATACATTCGATGGGCTTGTGTGAAAAAATGGATTCAAATCTCAATTTTTCCTTACAAGATTATGCCCTTATTTCAACCTTTAGCCACTTGCAACATTAATGCCTTTGATTTTCCGAAGCTTAGTTCTATTAGTTAATCATTAAGTGAACACGGCTTGCGTGAAAATATGGGCAAGAAATACCTTTAATTTTTATTAAGAAAAATCGAATTTTTCATGTTATCCCCATGAGTAGTTCGTAAATTTCCTTTTATTCTACTTAAAATCGATGTACTTTTCAATCCTCTTCGAGGTTTGTATGCGAAAATGGGGCGCCTAAACCTGTCTATAAACAGGACGAATAATCCAACTCGTTCGTAAACTGCCGGCACTAGTAGCAGTAATCTGGATTTGCTATCTATAGTAGGATTCCGAAAACGCCTATATTGGCCCATAAATTCTAATAATTATTCGGATTGCCAATAAAAAAATAGATTAATAACAGTTCCGAGTAAAAATACTTTTAAACGACTCATATACTTACATATCCGTTTATTCATTAATTCCAAATTTATCTTTCCAGTATTTCCAACTTCGAAACAGGATTCGTCCATATCGTTAGTGAGAATCTGAATGAGTTCCGTCTTTTTTTGTATTTCATGGCTAAGCTGTATGATCTTTTCGTGAGCCGATTTCAAGTCAGTTTCCAAAGATGAAACTGTATTTTCTAATTTGTTGTTTGTTATTAAGAGTTCCTTTCCAATCCTTGCTGTCAGTTCTAAATCCTTTTCTTTCTGTAAATAAAAAAAAAAATGACGAATTATACTCTATAAACAAAAATATCTTGTATTTTTGGCAATGTCAAAATAATATTCTGAGCTCAAATATATATTTCAGATATTTGATATTCAACAGGAGAAGTAGTAATTTTTAGTTTTCCCATTTTCATTTGAAAACTTTTAAATATTTTTTGTTTTTTTATAATGTCTAAAATAACATTCTGAATCCACATCCGAGATCAAATCAGAGGTGGGATTCCGTTTTGTGGTTCGATACGAATTTGCTATCAAACTACATAATAGCCACTCTGTTTAACAAAATTCGACAATAAACTCGATCAAATAACTTGACATCTTTAGAGTAATCGGATTCGATATCAAATCGTTAAGTTGAAATTTTTTGACATTAGGTATGAACCTGTCAATGAAGTTGAATACTAAGCCTGTGGCGTAAAACCTTAGGACTGAAAAGAATTTAGTATTCAGAGTAATACCTTTACTGAATAATCTCTCCTGTATCTGAGGCCTTATTTTCTCTATTATATTCTTATCTTAGAACATCAATAACATGATTATTTATTACATACAACGCTTCAAAATATAAATATAGGTAGGTACTCTTTATTTAGCCGAAAAAGCTACCCACAGCTATTTTTAGAGTTCAAAAGGATCGCTTCTTTCTTTTAGTTCATCCTTATACTTTTATTAAAACCAAAAAAAATACATAATTCTATTAAAAATGATACTGTCAACACACGAAAAATCCCCCTTTAGTACATATTTTAGTTGGCGCTGCTGTCACAAACATAGCGAATAGATAGGCTCAACGGAAAGAGAGCAGCTCTCATATTATTAGTATTCTAGAAATGTACATATATCTCCTCCCGTTGTGGTCATTAGAAAAAAAAAAATGATTTACCTCTTCAAGAAGCCTTGTGACTGCTTCTATGTCATCGTAGGTCTTGGTCATTTGGCTCACGCGATCACTACATAGAACTGAAACAGACAAAAATCAGGTTAAGGTCCTAAAAGTCACCAAGACGTCTTTTTTCCACTAGATGATTTTGAGTAATGACAGTTATCTTCGAAAAAAAAAAAATACCGATAAATTATTATTAATGATAAGATACGAGTTTTAAGTGTTATGGGTGTACTCTCTGTTTATGTCAAAAAATAATAACAATACATTTAAATTTATTCATTATTTAAGTAGTACAATAAATCATGGGATTTGTTTGAGAACGTTAAAAGTAGGCAGATTTAGCTGAATAATTTTTCTATATTAAATATGATTTTTATTAATTTTAATTGCATTATTTTTGCCAAATCAAGGTGAGATTAAAAAAATTCTCGTAACAAAAAAAACTGTCAGAAAATAGGTTTAATTTGGTAACAAGAAAAGTTTATTTAATGTTAATAGTAATTACAACTCAACGTCCATCTTGAAAAATGTGTTATATTTTTTGGCACAATATTTATTTTTGATTAGGCATTAAAATAATAAATAACGATAATAATATGTCAAAATGATAATGCTTACGAAAATAATTCAAAGTTTCTCGGATCTGGTCCGGTGATAGCTTTAGATCGGCCTCGTCGACCTCTAGAGCTGGTGAAGGTATAAACCAGTCTTGATTTTCGTAACCTAGAACAAATCAAAATAATAATAAAAATAAATATTGCATTTAAAGATAAACTATAGGAGGAGAATCTGAGAGAAACTTTCATTAAAAGAAAAGGCTTTGGACTGCAACATGGTGTTATAATCAAATATACTCTTTTATTTATAAATAAGATAGAAATAAAAAAACCATCTAATTGCTCAATATCAAGTTTAAACTGTTTATAAATTGGACTAAGGCGTCATATATTATCTTATTTGAAGACACTAATTAACACAGTTATCCTGTCGGAAGAGGGGTATAATTATTTGTTCCACGCATTGAACAAAATCAATCAGTAAATATGTCCGACAGAAACAGATTCTATGATTGTTTAAAAGTATCGACACTTGTAGCTCATAGGACACATATGTGAGATAATTAAGACAAAATGTATACTATAAAATATTATTAATTGGCACAATAGCAATGATCAGGACTGGAAAGATGAATACAAAGTGAACTTCCGAGTTAATTATTGAAGTTATTGGTACTGACCTTTAAAGGTTCACATAAATTCACTTTGTAATCATCATTCAAGTTTGATGATATCATTGTGCCGATATCGGTTGCCAAATGTTCATTAAATAATATTTTATGGCACGAATTTTGTATTTTCCCTATTTCATTTGAAGCTGATCATTTTTGAGAAGTTGAATAACCTTTTTGATCTACTAACGACTATTCACTCGATGAATGTGACAACTTCCAATGAACTATCCGGCATTTTACAAATGTTTTATAATAGATAAGTGAAACGGATGAGTACTTCAATGTGTATAATTATTTTTAATAATATTACATTGAGCGCTTTCGGTTGAGAGCCATCATCAAATCCTTTGTCATATAGATACATTTATAAGGAAAACTTAACAAAAACATATAAACATTTTTTTTCAAGTATTCAATTTTGTTTTAAATATATATCGATGGCTTGATTGCACAAAGTCGCAACCCACAAAATTTCAAAAAAATCGCTTTTTGCGTCATTGGAGTCGTATGTTTTAGCTGCGTCTTGTGTAAAACTATCGTAAGCAACAGTATAAAATGAAATTAATTTTACGCGCCAAAGCAAAAAGTTACTCTTCGAAATTACATGTAAAGTCTATTTGGTTTTTTATTCCCCTGTAAAATTTACTTTTTGGGGTTACGACGTTTTGCACTTAAGCCATCGATATGTTTGTCAAGTTTTTATTTATTTATTTATTTATTTGTTACACCACCCAACAGTAATCACCATTTACTGGGTGGGAAAGACAAAACAGAATAAAAATACAAATACAAAATTGTTAAAAAGCTATACAATGTAAACATCAAAAAAAAAACTGATCGAACACAGAATAAAAAAAAATGGTTGTCTGCACTGCATTACATGCTTTACATCATTTTTTTTACATTGTTAAAGAAAAAACATTTTTAATCATACAGGGTGTTTATTAATTGAGTGCCGATACTTATCATAATTTTTTTATCACTCCAGATATTTCTATGAAATTTTGTACACACGTTTTAATAATTAAGGACGTATAAGATTTTTTAAATTTTTACCAGTGACGTCCGTACCGGGTTTGAACTGAATATTTTTGAAGAAAAAAAAAATGGTACGCCACTGCTTTTTCTGAAAACCAAAATTATTTTTGAAATCATCATTTATTTTGGAGCAAACTTGGCTCATAGACTTACTTTCGTACGATGCACCGTTTTCGCGTAAAAAAATAAAAACCATTGTAGTGGTTGGTCAAATTTGTTTCTTAAATTCATTGATACCTACTGCTTTTGATATTTTGTTGAAATCTGGTAGGCACCCACCAAGCGTGGAAACATTTTTTTGGGACAAAAATTAATTTTCTACGTTTTGAATAGAAAAATTTGGTAAGCGCATTATTGCCCTCTTAAAGCAAATGAAATAAACATTAGTAGGCTGGGTAAAGCGTCATCATTTTTGACGTTTCTTTTCATAAAGACAATAAAGTTGACATTGATTTTACATTATTAAATAATTATTATTAGAGTAAGAGTTAAAATCTGAAAAAAAAAATGATAAATTTTACGAACAGTGAATTAGCTGACATGCATTTTAGTTATGGGCTTGCAGACGGAAATGCATACGAAGCCAGACGGATATACCAAGAGCGGTATCCAAATCGCGTACTACCCGATCCGAGAACATTTTCTAGGATTCATAGACGTCTTCACGAGACCGGAACTTTAAAAGTAGACCACAGGGCTAAAGGAGTCCATCAAACAGTAAGAACACCGGAACTTGAAGAAGGAATTTTACATGAAACTGAACAGAACCCCGAAACTAGCACGAGGAGAATCGCGTCAACATTTAATGTTTCACATGTACTTGTTTGGAAAATTCTCATCGAAAATTTGTTATACCCATATCACATTCAAAGAGTCCAGGCATTACTCCCTAGAGATTTCCCGTTGCGCATTAATTTCTGTGAGTGGTTTCTTCAAAACCTGCTGGAAAATCCATTATTTGACAGGCACATTCTTTTTACCGATGAAGCTAATTTTTCTCGAAACTCAATAATAAATTTCCATAATAACCATTTATGGGCGGATGAAAACCCTTATGCAATTGTTGAGTCAAATCATCAAGAACAGTTCGGGCTGGCATTATTGATGATTATTTGATAGGCCCATTTTTTCTCCCAAGAAGAATTGATGGACAATCATATTTACACTTCCTTGAAGATGATCTGCCGCCAATGCTTGAAGCCCTTCCTCTTTTATTAAGAAACCAGATGTGGCTAATGCATGATGGTGCGCCTCCACATTTTAGCTTACGAGTGCGTGAATTTTTAAATCACACCTATCGCAATCGGTGGATAGGTCGCGGAGGAACGCAGTCATGGCCGCCTAGATCTTAATAGTTTAGACTTCTTTTTCTGGGGGCATCTGAAAAGCTTAGTGTACGCAGTGCCGATTCAAACCGAAGAAGAGTTACGAAATCGTATAACAGTCTGCTGCCAAACCATAAGAAACACCCCAGGAATCTTTGAAAATGTGCGTCAGTCTATGCGAAGAAGAATAGATGCTTGCATACGTGTGGGTGGAGGACACTTCCAACAATTACTGTAAATAATTTGGGTTCTTTATTTTGTTTGTATTCTCTTGTAATTTCGTTTTAGATTCAAGATTTTGAATTTTCATTTTACTATAAATAAATCCCGATTTTTAAAATACATAGAATATAAAAAATCAGAGGTGTACGTTTTTTTTTCTATCCAAACATTCAATATGATGCCTACGTGGCCGTCACTGGTGGAAGTAGAAAATTAATTTTTGCCCCAAAATAAGTGTTCACACATGGTGGGTGCCTACCAAATTTCAACAAAAAATCAAAAGCAGCTTAAGAAAAAAAAAAATTTTGGTTTTTATTTTTTACGCTAACACAGTGCATCGTACGAAAGCAAGTCTATGGGCCAAATTTGCTCAAAAATAAATGAATATTTCAAAAATAATTTTGGATTTTTTTTTCTTCAAAAATATTCATTTCAAACCTCGTACGGAAGTCACTGGTAAAAATTTAAAAAAATCTTATACGTCAAAAAATGCTCCTTAATGATTAAAAGGTGTTTACAAAATTTCATAGAAATATCTGCAGTGATAAGAAAATTATGAAAAAAAAATATATTTTTTTCTTAAAACTGTAATACCCTGTACCTCAAAAATTAAGAGATTTACGACATATGTTGATATTAACTTTTCTTCTTAAAATCACCCAAGGGTTCACACCCTTAAGTATCGGCACTCAATTAATAAACACCCTGTATATTTTTTACATGCAAAAATATACAAGCTGTCTTAAATTTCATATTTTTGAATAGATTGGTACATTGGAGATGAGTTCAGAACATTAGTTCTAAAAGCTGGCATGTAGAAACTCAAGTAAACTCTTAAACCAGCACGGGGGATTTTTAGATTAACGTAATTTAACAAATCAATACTGTCGACTGAGCTATTTAAAAGATTATAAAGTAAGAGTACCTGTTGGATATTTCTGCGTATCACGAGCTCTGAAAGATTGAATCTAGATATTAGTAAATCGTGAACTTTTCGAGTAAGTCAATTTCCCAAAAATTTTCTACATAATTTTGGCATTGCCAGAAATTATGTCTCATCAAATTAATATTAAAATATTCTCGAAATTTAGAACAAAAATAGCTGACTATTTTTTTTAACTATTTCGAGACGATAACTCGTTTGCAATTTTTGAAACATGGACAAGCTTATTTTGAATACTATACCAGGTGTAACATATTAAAAATGTCTTCTATTTTATTAAACAAAAAAGAAAATGTATTTGGTAATTCTCTAAACTTAAAGAAGTAGATCAGGGCCGCCGAGAGCCATGTCCGGCCTCGGGACAATTTTACAGGTCGGGCCCCGCGACAAGTTAATAACAAAAATTAAGCTTTCAATATCACATTTCTAAAAAAAGAAAAAGATTCTCTCTCTTTATGTTCTTGTGGCGAACTTCTAAAAAAAAAAACGTCGTCACCTAAAGCTGCCGGGCCCCCCACTTGAGCCCTGGCCCCGGGAATTTGTCCCGGCTAACCCCCCCCCACCCCTCTCGTTAGCCCTGAAGTAGATACGTAATGTATAAAAAGCAAATAAAGTAGATTTAAAATATATAAATAAAACAATATTTGTTAATAAGTAAAACACTTTTACATTTTTCGTACCTACGTACTGGTTTTTGCCACATATAAGAGATAAATATTAAATCAGTACTTATGTTTTTAAATATTTATTTTGCCAAGAACTATAAATTAAATTGTTTTTATTAGGTTGTACTTTTCTAATATCTTTAGTTCTTGATATAGCCATTGTAAGTTTTTAAATTGCACCTAATAATATAATAATATAAATGGGCTAAATAAGTAATAACATTTGTATAAATTTCATTTAATTCCAAATGTTTGTTAATTTGTAAATTAAGAACCAGTTTACATCAATCACAGTAGTA